GAAGGTGATTAAGCTAGCCGCACCTACATTTGGAGTGCACGCGTACTCATATGACAACGTTCGGTTTTCAAGATAAGGTGTCTATATAGTATGGAAATTAATTGGATTATATTCACAGAAAGTATAAAACATGTTACATATGTCCATTAAAAGTAAATGGACACATGTAATTTACTTTACAGGACCCTCTCGGGCCTCGGACCCACCCACCATAGTCTCTCCAAATCCTGTGGGAAACGCAGAGTAAAAAGCACATTTTGACTGATTAATTTATGCAATGGTTTAAAAAAAAAAAAAAAAAAAAGGCAAAATAAATGGAAAAAAAATGTGAAAATCCTTATTCTGTCTTCAGGAAAGTTTTTCCATTATATTCACCTTCGGCCAACAATTTTCATTTCAGTGCATCCCTATAAAAAATGCCATTAACAACAAGAATAAACAAATATCCAGTCCTAAATAAGGTAACTCAATGCAGAAATTTAGACAATGCAGATTACTAATGATTTGTAATATAAACTCTGACCTGTAGACATGTTTGAATGCATCAACGATGATCGGTGCAAAGTCCTGGGTGAATTCTGGTCCTTTCTTCTTGCTGTTCTGAATGACGTCGTTGGCCAAGTAAACAAAGGTCAGCTTGCGGGACACCTGAGCTGCATGCAATCAAATGTACAAATAAACATATTACAGTGAGGTATTTGGTTATGATTTACATTGAGTCAAAACCGAGGCTAGCAACACAGAGGTAGCTTTCAATGCAGGTTTGTTTCCGCTGAAGGGTAGCACATTATGAGTTCATGAGTAGTGATCTATCAATTAACCTACTAAAACAAATTAGAATTTATGTACTTTTTATTCATCTGAGAAAGGAAAAAACTGTAAATGCAATGCTATGTTTTCTCCTCCAGGCCAGACTGTCAAACACAGCAAATCTATCCAGTACCAAACATTTATCCCACAGTTCATTCTTACTATGGCTACATATCAGCCCCAAGGGTTCAGGCATTTAATAATTTAATTTCAGCACCTTTAATCGCTTGTTTTGTGTCCTTTCCATTTGGCTTTTATCCACCAACATGTACTTCACAGTCACAATAAACAAGTAATGATACATAAGTATTTGTTGCTTTTGGTCACAGTCACTGAGCTAAGTATAAAGCCCCAGAGAAATGTGCCATCTCTTATCCCCATGGCTGTTAACACTGCACACTCCTTTCAGTCCTCCGACAAGCTCCAAAAATATTACATCCACTTGAGATATCATTAGGTTGTTGACTAGCACCCTAAGGAAAAGTGTGCCAGTATTAGCTGCATAACTACAGCAATACCCGAAATCCACACAACATGTTTGATTTTTTAAACACAGCCCTTTCTTGTACTTACACTGAATCTACTTAGTACATTTAGAGCCAGCATTTTATTGTTATGATTCAAGGGGGACACCTTTGCTTACAGTAATCAGTGGCAAGTCAGTGGTCGAGCCTACACTTTCCATTTGACATGGAGCCCACTCATACAAAGGACATATTTTAAACTGTAATCAACTTGAGCATGTTTGAGCTAGATCTTGAGAGAGGAGAGAGAGCAAGGCAGAAAGAAACTAAGAACAAAATCAATAAGAAAGTAATTTTTTAAGTTTTCTTATCAGAGCGATCCAAGCAGCTACAAACAGCAGTAGCTAAAACATAACTGCTCACATTTGAGGTTTACTTAATGATTACGCTGATCCAGGAAGCCTGCTATATGTGATCCACCTATTTCAGGTGTTTTAGTGTCCATGACAGAAAAATGCTTTGATGAACTTCTCAGCAATCTGTTAAGATACAAATGCTGATGTCAGCTGAACTTAAACCTGCAAAAAACAATTTTCTTGCACCTGCTAGGGGCAGCACAGACAAACACTGTGAACACAACACTGACAGATCACCTTTAAGTTGATATGGCAAACAGCTGCTTATTACACATCCAGCAGTTAAAGAGCAACAATACCACAGATTTCGGGTTGTGTCTACCTGGCAACTGTAAGTACAACATTCACTCTGTTTCAGCTTTGTTTTTAGTCTACACCAACACTTAATGGAAATATCTGGGTGTTTAGCTGCTAAATGCTCCAGTGTGTTCACTAGCTAGCTTCTTAATGTCTCTATCTGCTATTTGGTGCTGAGAAGGCAGCTACAGTGGGTTTATAGAGCTTTTCCGCTTGTTATAAGATTTTAAGATAAGATGTCAAAGATGTCATGTCAAAATTGTAACAATTGCTTGCTTGCACATCCCACAGACGTGGCGCAACATGATCTGTTTTTCTCCACCTAAGGGAACTATCTGGCTCTTTAGTTGCCAAATGCTCCACTTTGTTCACCAGCTTATCGCTAACTTTGTCTGGCATTTGGTGCTGGATAAGTAGCGTGACGTTAAGTTAACGTAGGTTTATGAGAGTTGCTGAAAACAGTTGCCTCTTGCTGCTGGGGCAGTAAACAAGATGCTAAAATGGTCTGAGCGAAGAACAGCTGATAAAATGTGTGGGTTCATCACTATTGCAACAACACATTTTACATTACACAATTTTTATATTAAAAATACAGCTGATGACTTTATTGGTGCAGCTTTAAGGATCTTAAACATTTAATATCATATAACATACAACATATATTAATGAGGGAGGGTCAACTTAAATAGTATTTCAGGCCCGTCCTTGGATCACGGCTGAACTATTACTATTAACTTATCTTCTTTACCAAGGCTAGCATTAATGTTGTAAATTACAATTTTAGAAAGTCAGTTTAAATTTATAAAATAACTGAAATAGCCTCTTAACGTCTAACTTATAAAACAGATTAACTAAAGATATATAACGTCAATGTTTAAGGCTAACTTAACGTACTGTTTGCCAGTGCTGGTGAGTCAAAACCTTTTCAACTGGTATTGCTCAGAAGTAGGCTAACGTTAGAAGTTTCTGTGCAAACAATGACCCGTTGTCTAACAACATAACGTTAACTTAGCTAACGTTACAATAGTTTGAAGCACACAAGGAACGCCTAGCCAGAGCTAACGTTAGCCAACTCCTGTTGCCACAGGCTAACGTTACACCTAACTTGTTTGTGAGTTGTAGAACAGAAGCAGGTCAGCGGTCTTTATTGTGGGGTTCTAACGTTAGCTAGCTCACCGAGCAACCTTACCTTTTTTCAGTTCGTTGAGCCAAACACTGACAATAGTCCTCGAGTGTTTCCTGTGATGAATGAGCCACAACGACAACGTCTGAACACTTTGCTGCGAGTTGCTAAGCTCGGATAGTTTCTTTTCTAAAGCCGCCTCAGAGAAAGCTGACATCTTGACGATTAATAGAGGAGTAACCTCTATGGGAGTAACTAGGAGACACAGGGAGAGGCAGCGTTAAGGTTTCTCCCAGATGTGCTATCTACGGCAAGTTAGCCAGTCATTACAGGAATATTAGCCATCCAAATTACATGTCAGACGCTATCTTTCCTGTGACTGGTTATTTATGCTAACTAACGTTAGCAAACGTCGACTTCTGTAGCGTTAATATGCGCATGTGCAGAACGGATCGGGCACAGTATTTCTTGACTTGCAAAATTATCTTTTACGTTGATAACGGTTGATAAACATTATATTTGTAATTTATGGCATAATTCAAACTGATCGAAAATTATTTGTGTCTCTCCGTTGACAACCGTACATATTTTATTTATTCTTATACAGCCTATATTTTTTACACCGAGAGGGGCAGGACTTCGCCTCTCTATAGCCAATCACAGGCAGAGTAGGAGCGGATCTTCTCGCAAGGCATACTGGGTAGGTGAGTCAGTTTAGTCTTCCAAACAGCGTATCTGTAATTTCATAGATAAAGAGCATTGCAAATTGACACAGTCGCACAATATGTAAAATGTTCTTTTACTGTTCTTTTTATTTTTATTTTTTCGAAACAAAAAACCCTTACCCTTAGTAAATACAGACCGGGAGGCTTCAGAACTGAGGCAGAGAGCCCTAGTGCATACTTTTTTAATAGTCTGTTAGTGCACATCAACAGTGCAATCTCGTGACCGGGACAGAAACTTCCATTTATCAGTCAAATATATTGAGATTATTTTACTGTGATGGATACATGACTATATTAGTAATAAATACAATAATTGAAAGAAACAGACACTGTGAGGCCAATGCAGCTGAACAAGTGACAGATTTTGACAAAAGAAAAGGAATCTCGAAGGTAATCACTTGTCCAGGACTGATGGACAATACATGGCCTAATAATTAGGTCAGGAGAGAGCAAACAGAGTCTTGACTGAGGTTGGACTGCTGTAACAAACAAGTGAGCAGAGATGTGTGGTAAAGACCCATCTGACGGTCTGTCTGCATCCCACTGTAAAGAGGTTTGAGCTGCTGTTATGAATGATAGCAAGAACAGTAATAACACTGAAAAGCCTCTGATGTGCAATCGATCTGTGTCTGTTTTATTTGATTTTCTATGGCGAGGCATTAGATTCACTTAGATAACATCTGGAAAAGACATGCTAAGAGAAATAGTGTGGATTTCTAGAAACCGTGTGTAACAACAGCATCACATACATCATAAAATGAATATAACAATAAAAATATAACACAGACTTACAATAAATTAGATTGATTAGAGTAATAAGATTCATAGCTCAAAACTGTGAAATCAAATTGACCTTTTCCTTTCTTTATAGATCTGCATTTCTCAGTAGAGATAAACACATTTTATTTATATAGCCTCTGAAAATAATCAACAAAGGTAATCCCCAATCACAAAATGTATTTTTATACTCAAATGCATCATATTATTACTATTATTTTGCAGGAGCATGTCTAAAGTGATGTAAATGTAACATGTATGTTGTTTTTGTTCCTTGTGAAAAACGTTGTGATCTCTGGTTTTGATTAGTTATATATTAGATACATAACTCTTGTTGTGTTTTGACTCAATATTCCAAAGTCTTGGAGCTCTGATTGCAAAGTCGTTATCACTTTTGTGTATCAAACTTTATTGAAACGTGTTTTCTCAACCCAATTCATATACAGTATGTTGAGGACTCAACTAAACAAAACACCGGTTAAAAGTTTCCACAAGAAGGTTTTTGGGACTGTGGTAAATTAGGCTATATTTGGACAGCATTATGGACAAAACACTAATATTTGGACTACAGACCATTCTTCCACTCTGCCTCATAAAAAACATCCTGATGTGTCAACCGTAAAACTTCACTCTCTCATTCACTTTTCCCTTTTGCCATTGTCCAAGAACTGCATTACATAATTGAGATTCTGTGTGTTAAAAAACAAAAGACATGGAAAAGGAATGACTAGACTACTGTTTGGCTGTAAAGTTTGTCATTAGCTTATGCGTACATTAAAATTATGTACAAATTTAACAACAAAAATGAGCATGTTATCAGTTTCAGCATAAAGAGTTGAAGGGTTACTTATTAAAATTCTCTCTTTCTCGCTGGGGGACAAGCCTATCGGGGTGATGCAAGCAGCACTACCATACGGTATAGTAAAAGGACTTTGCACGTCTTTTTGGTGTTGTTTGTTCACACTGCACAGTGTAAAACATTCACACCAAGGTTCAAATGTATGCAGCAAAGATCTGATCTCCTAAATGAAGGAAGATGATTTAATAACTCATTTACTCTACATCCCAGCACTGGACATTTACATCAGCTGTTAACTTTACCTACAGTACCTGCCCTTACTTTATCAAAGGGTGATAGATTAATCACTTGCATCATTTACAAACTCTTGTTTATAGCAATAATACCAGTATCATCCCATTATACACCAGTCAACAAATTAAGAAACTAAACTATTATTATATTATATAATTATATTATATTTTTAGTGCAAATCAGCAAGTAACATCAGCAGTTCTTTATTCAATAATAAAATAGCAAGCAGCACATTTGACCTTGTTGTTTCATTACATTTACTTTCAAAAGCTGCCAAAAAAAAAAAAATCCACTCAAGCACAAACCTGAAGTGAGCCATCACACATTAATTGAATTTCAGTTGATTAATCTTTGGAGTTATTCAGGCCCAACTTGTACATAACAAAATGGTCCAAAAGAAACAGAAAATGTAGGTGTTACTTCAACATATGTGACAACTACACCACCGCCTCACTGTGATTTGAAAGTTTTGTAATTTCTGTTTCTCTGAACCAATACAAAGTATTAATCACAGAAAAACTGCCTGCTGCTACACATAGTTTGATGCTTAATGTTACTGAGCATGTTTCTCACCCTCACTTAGTTAGGATACATGTAAAACCTAGAAAAATATGATTACATTCTAGTACTTTTCCCTTTAAATGAATGAGCCAATACTGCTTGCATAAAAAGTCACTTTTAAATTCTTGGATAACAAAAACAAAGTATAATTTTAAATATCCTTAATTTAAAATCAGAAGGCAATACCTGTTTATATGTAACCATGTGACGTAACACCTACAACACCTATATGTCAAAGCACATCCAAGGAAATGTCACAAACTAGGCTCATTTCAATTTAATGGTAAATTTCATCCGTTTACAGATTTGGGTGAATTAAAATGTAAAATCCTTGTCAGTTTCATGTTAAAAGAATACTTTGTCATATAAAATAAATGTTCTAACTGAAAATCAAAGGGGAGAAAGTTTAATACTGATCTCAGAGGCTATGAAGGTTGTATTACTACAGACAAAACATCCCTCCATTAGAAGATTCCCATTTCTGACAAACCAGATACGTTTATTTTAGAACATTAAAAATGCCAAAGCCCGAGTGGAGCTTATGCTGGACCATCTAAGTGCCATTTTATTCAATGGCTACCAGTTTCTTGGGTAGAAACATGGTCTCAGTGTCGTGTGGCAATATATGCACAATTTAAATTGTCTTATGTAAACATAATGGAGTTTTTGTTCCATCTTTACTTCCTGAAATCAGCAAACCTTACAAACCAGCAGCTCTGAAATTAGGATCAGAGTGGACCCCATAATTCAGAGCTTGCCCAGGTGGGATAAAAGCATTTGACCGGTACATACCGTGACCATCCCCACCACCGACTGGATGAGGAAGGTGATGGTCAGGGTTTGTCCATGGCCCAGTATTGTAGTTGGGGTTAGACATCACCCCATGGCCTACTTGGGTGGCTTGATGGGCCGTAGTTTGTGTCATATTACTATGTGGAGCTGTCGGGACATGGCCAATGGTGAACTCCATGTATGTTTGCAATTGTCTCTGTTCAATCTCAAGAAACTGTGCTCTAGGCTCTGGAGCAATGCTGCAACTGTGAGCAAGGGAATCTCCGAAGCGAGGATGCATGTTAATCCTAACAGCATCAAAATGAGGCGCCAATTCGCCAGACAAATCATGCTGCTCCACACCACCTGTCCAAAGACTTGTATGCTCTTGTGCCATGTCCTGATATTGGGGCCAATGTTGGTAATAATGTTGAGTAGCGTTTGCACTCGTCTCTCTTGGTCTCTCTTCTCTTGGCACTTCAACCCTAGTGCCGGAATTGTACCACTGCTCAGTGTAATCTTTCTCAAGTCTGCTGGAAGAGTCATAAGATAACCAGTCCTGAGTGTGGGGCGCAGCAGCCGACAGCCCCTTGTTGTGTGTCTGTGGGCCTTCATTTTGGCACTCATTGTAAAACCTTTTACTTGATCTTTCTTCAGAATTGTGCTGTCTGTTGTATTCATTTGGCTCATAAAACCGTTTGTCTTTTGGCTCAGTTATGTCTTCAGGCTGGTTGAAGTACTCATTGTCATTGAAGTAACCATTTGCCTCTTTATTCACCTCTTGTCTGACTGTGAAGGTTATTTCTGGTCCCATGTACTGACCAGCGCCTGCATGTCCAATATAGAGGTCTTGCTGAAGTTGTGGGGTTGTACCCATTGATGTGTGTTCAGCATGGTTAACTGCAAATGATTCAGACTCACAGTCCTCTGACTGAGACTCTGGCAAGGGAATGAGATCCGAGTCCAATGAAGGTGAGTATGCGGATGATACAGGGAAGCTGTCCACACTCAAAGACGTCCTCTCCAGCAGCACTGCACCTTTGGTAAGAGGCAGGCTTACCTTGAACACCGTATTACTCACTTTCCTCGTCTTCCTCCTTGATCTCCTCCTTTTTGCACATTTCTCTGGAATGCCTTGATTTGAAGTCTTGTTCATACTCGGCCCTTAAAGAAAAAGTATATATCGGACCCACAGAGCTCAAAAAGAAGGTAAATTACAATACTGAATTACAGAAAAAACAAACATAAGTTTTGGACCCCTTCAAGTAAATTAGACACACACCTTTGACAGCTATTTTGGCCTTTTGGATTTTAGTATGTGTCCAATCATTACACAGCATCTTTATACCTGGAAAATTATAACAAAAAAACAGGGGATATACAAAGAAAAAAAATACAAACATACATAAGTCTTTGCATTCAAAAAAATCATCGGGTGAAGAACACAGAGTGTGTTTGAATGCTGGAAAAGAAACACTGCAGTGGTCGAACACAGTAATAATAGGGGTGAATAAGACAACAACAGATAATAGAAAAAAGTTTAACTCTGCCCTTTTACACCACAAAGTATAAACTGCTCTCAAAACACACTCCCCTTTACTATAAAAGCTGGCTGTAAAAGTTTCTAATTTATTCCCTCATGGAGAGCAGAGGCTATGCTTGCCTTGGATTCATGGTAGTTACCTCTCAAGCCTGGGGGCAGTTCAGTGTTTCAAACTTGAGACCTTTAAGAGCATCACTTTTATGGACAGCGTCAAGTATTACACCACGTCTTAACTAAGTATTGGACTTAAATAAGTATTATACTTACATCATGAATCACTCCTCAAGAGCAGACAGTTGGAGCTAAATAGGTGAATGGTTTATGGCCAAACAAGAAAACAGTGGACAGACATACAACTGTACTTACACCAGTGGTAACTTTTGCCAGTCAGTTGGATACAGAGGGATTCTGGTGCGTTTACCACCTGGAAACATGAGATGTTTGAACATTTTGATGGACATAGGAGTAGAAATTAACTCGAGACCTTTTTAGGTACACCTAGCATCACCAAGGCTGGACAATGTGTGCATATGAGCAAATAGGATACCTTCAGCTCTCCTCTTCCCTCCTCTTGCTCCACTTTCTTGGCCAGTGACAGGAGAATCTGATCGTTGTCCTTAATATCTGCCATCATTACATCCACCTGCTCAGGATGACTTTCCATCTACACACAGACGTTTTCAGTGAAGTTAAACCTACCATGTTCCCTGAAGCCTCTGGATGTGTAAAGGTAAAGGGATTTGTGTTTTTGTTAATATCAAATATTGATCCACAACAAACTGACCAAGTAGTTCATGAGATGGGAAGAGCTGGTTAGGTGATCAATGATGTCCTTTTTGGTGGATTTGATGCGGCAGCAGTGACATAAAAAACAGTATGTGTGGCCGTCTTCACCTCTACACTCAACCAGGCGGAAAAGACCTGTTGCAAACATGTATTAGCAGTTTTTTAAAGCAATAATTGAGATAAAATAGAGTTAGATAAGAACCACTCGCATGACTGTACGGTAAATATGTAGCCGGATTCAGCAGCAAGTTAGCTTAGCTTAGCTGGAAATAGTTAGCATGGCAAAATTTAAAAAAAAAAGACAATTCGACGTTTTACAGGGGTCACGCTAGTCCTTGGCCAGGAGCAGTTTCCGAGCAAGCAGTGTAAACTCTAGGAATGGTCCCATTCAAGAAATTAGCCAAGCTAAAATAAGATAAACTAACCAGCTGCAGGTACATATTTACTGTACAGACATGAAGGTGGTATGAATAAACTCTTTTTAGCAAAATATTTAACTATTTGTAAAATGTGCCATACTCATAATATATGCAGTAGCATCAATGCGAATTACTGATGTCAAAACAGCTTCAATCAACATGTGCAGAAATGTCTTCTCCTACAACCTACTGTAAATGTGTACTTCTCAATCATGCTGACACCAGTTTGACATTTTCTGTAATTGTAGCACCTGTTGTTGCTATCCTTTATCTGTGCTCACCAATCAGGGGCTCAGTTCCTGTGTAGCTATCAATGAAGCTGCTGCTCTTCTCTGATAACACAGAGGGTTCGGCTGACGTCGGAGTATTGTCCAACAGTGATACAGACATGTTGCTTAACCAGCCTTCTGCCTTGATAGAATCCAAAGTGGACTGTATCAGAGATGGAGGCTTGTTAGTCTCTGCTGGGGTCCTGAGGGATTTCTCGGACTGTCTCCGCTGGTTCTGGGGAGGCAATACAGTCCTCTGCGGATGGATGGGATTGTGCTTGAACAGCACAGATGTGGTCTCTGAATGGTTCTCAGGTTTACCCTGCCCCTGCCCATATCTTAAGATATTTATCAGAGTTACCACTGTGGTGTTGGAGAGAGAAAGAAATCCATAAAAGAAAAAGAGACATACATATGGAAATAATGGCACAAAAAACACAGAAGGGTGATAGGAAAAGACCTAGGGTGGGATTGAAGAGGTGGATATAGAAGATGTTTAGAACCACTGTTCTGAAGAAGTGAATAGTCACTGACCGTTATTCTCCGTGTGTGTTGCCATCTTCTGGTATGTGGCGTCTTCAACCTCTAACAACTTAATATGAAGGTGCAAACAGATATGAGTACCTGTATCAAAACACTCCCGTCTTTGAAACTGCAAACAAAGACATACACGATCAAAACAACATACCTGGACATCTCCAGGTCCCTCTTTTTCCTCAAGTATCTTGGCCATCTTCATCAGTGGCCAAGCCAGCTTGGACAGGTCGAACTTGTCCTTCCATTCAGACACTAAGTGGGGATGCCAGGCTTTCTGTCAAGCACACCAAAGGCCATTAATAAACTACAAAGGCAGCAAGCAAACTTGCCATCATGACTTCTTCTGCAGTGCTACTTACAATGTAGTTGTATCTGTGGAGACTTCCCGTAATGTGGTTCCGCATGTCAGCTTTACTAAGTCGACACACACACACCTCACACAGGTACAGTGCTTGTTTGTTTTGTGCACCCGCCTTCATACATTCTATAATGCTGCCTAGGCCTGAATGTACATAAAATGACAAATTATTTCAATACACACATACCCACACCAAAAAACATTTTTTTGTTGCTACAGACCAATAATGGGTTGCAGTCTGTTCTTGTTGTTCAAATACACTTCCAGAGAATCGAACAGCTGGCTTTTGGTAGAAATTCCTGAAAACAGAGAATGCATCTAATATACAGTAGAAAAGGCATGGTTAAATGGTGTGAGCATGGAAGCCCACATACAGACAGTGAAGGACATACCTTTCTGTGACCCAACCGGCTGCATGCTGCAGTTGTAGAATCACCACCTGCATACAGTTGAAGTTGGAGCTTACAGTGAGTGATTGAAAAAAAAGTGTTCTTCTCGCCAATTTTCACTTATGATGAATAAAAGAAAGAATAAAACTCTGTCAGCCCACGTGGTCCTGCCTTTTGGTTTTATCAGATGGACACTGTAGAAGACGAAATATATAACTCTGGTTCCACACTGAAGAATCTTTACTTCAGAAGAATAAAGACGATTATTATGAGCATTCATGCTGCATGGAGGGAAACATACAGGCTACATCAGTAATTGTCTAGACCTCCATCCTGAGGTTCTCCTCACAATAAAACAAAAGGTTTCACTCACAAGGATCGTTAATCAGAGTAAAATAGTTTGCCTCAACACAAAGCTCACTGTCATATGGAAAGGTGGGCACTCAAATCAAGATACACAAAGACAATATCAAGATAAAAAAAATCTTTTTTCAAAATTTTCTTCTATAACACACAAATGTGATATCAGCGAAGAACTTGGTACAAGCACGTACGGACAGACAAACCAAAAACTTAAGTATTCCAACTCAGTTTATTTGTCCTCTAACATTTCCGCGATTTCTGAATGTGTCAGCGGAACAGAGCGCATTTTCAAGATCCACTAGTCATAAATACTGTCTAGCCTGCAATTCCCACACAAAGCTGGCCACAAGTGAAGGCCTTCCCGTGTGTTATCTATCTAACAAGGCAGAAACCACTCATTTCTACAAGTATTCCTTCTGATGAAAAAATTTGTGTGCTTGTGGCCAAATGTCTGAACTATTTTAGATTTCCCCTAAATTAGCATGAAGAAGTGTAGAAATTACAGAAAAGGCACAGATAAGCATAAAAATTACTAGAAAACTTACTTTAGAAAAGTAAATAAAAGTAAGCGGGGAAAGTCTATGAACCAGGTTCAGCCGAAGAAACCTTCTTAATCTATTTAAGATCAAAGACAGGAATGCCATCACAGGCCTCTGACCACCACAATCATCATCACACTATTTACCCACATCAGCCCCCAGAATAGTAATTTACCTTCATATATCATTATATCAAGTCATTTTGCCTATCCATGCTCTCACCAAAATTTACAGACTTCCACATTTTTTAATCAATATAAAACTGTATATAAAAAACTCTAAATAATCAAACAAAAATATTAGGGTCCAAATATTATTCTGTACACAATGTCCCCACCACACCCAGTTATTTACCGAACATGATCACATTCCAAACTATTGAGGCTAAACACTTTTTGTGTCTTTACATTAAGATAAATACAATACAACTCATGTTACTTTAAGTTACTAGTGTTATCGTTCATGGTGAGAAATTTTGATTGCCTACATGCCAACGTGGTGTAAATAGTTGAACATAATTTACACAGTTCTATCATATCTACCTCCTGATTTTGATTCACCGGTCTATTAGTATATTGAAAACTTTTGACATATTATAATCATGTGAGCTTTGATTGACTGAGTTTAGTTCTGTGTGTGTTTATAAGTACGTACATGTCCTTATAATCCTTATTGTAGTTGTATATTAGATTCTCCTTCACTTACATTGAAATAAAAATAACCACAGAGGCTAATATTGTAACAGTGGCTCTAAATTAATCTGTAGCCACCAGATGGCGGTGCAATATCATCATACTGTTGAGCTGAAATCCAGAGGCAGCGTGCCTGTAAATAACCAAAACATTTTTTCTGTTCACTTCAAAAAAATATAACTAGGGAAAAAATCCTATTTCTATAGGAACTGCCTCAACGTTATGGCAGATAACTTTAAACCGCATTTTACAGTTGATTCCACTTTTATCAAATTCCGTGTGTTTCCGCGTCGCTGAAATCACAGCACCCCAATAAGCAGAGAGATAAATTAGCATCAGCAAACGTTAACTGTAACTTAGGCCTAAGTTAGTTAAGACATTAACCTGCGCCACTGACGTTAACTAAAGGTGTGCGCTTCCTCGTCGAGCTGGGAAACTTTTTCAGTGCAACAGCCAACTAACGGTAACGTTACAGTTTTAACAGCCGTTAACCGTTAACGTGTTCCCTGCCACAGCTGACAAACGTTAACGTTAACATGTTGTCACAAATAGCGACGATAATATACGGTAATTTACAGATTACAGCAACTTTTAGTTACCTTAAACGACCAAAACCAACAAACTTCTTCTCAACGTGCCACCGAAACATTTGTACGTTACAATACAATAAATAAATACATTGACTTCCTACTGTAGACCTAACGTTACTTAACGTTACCGTTAGAAAATTAACGTCCGTGTCCGCCTGGATGAGGTAATCGATCGATTCAAAAAGGAAGCGACGTTCACAAAGAGGGTATAAAGGTCAGCGGCACATCCGCTGCTGCACTTCACGTTGTAAAAGAGGGAGTGAGCAGAACAAGGACGATTTCTGACCAATCAAACCAACATTGCTTAGAACTGCGTGTGTTTCTATGAGGACCAATTTCAGATCCAAGCCACCTTTAGTGAGGGTATTTCGGCATTTGTGAGGACATTTCCTCACTGCTTCAGAGGACTGTTTCAAGATTGATGTTTGTTTAGTTAAACAAAACACAAATATATGCTGGGATTAATAATCACTGTTCAAGGGACAACAAAATTTTGGGAACCCATTATTTCCTGCTGTAAGTGTCTTTTTTTTTACCCATTATGGTGAACTCAATTTCCACATCCTTCTATTCTTCCTTTAGACCAGGGCTTCCTGTCCTTTGCTGTTGCGCAAACTCATCCAGGCGCTTGCTTGCTCTCTCTCTCTCTCTCTTTAAGTAGCCTATCTAGATTTACAACAAGTTTTATTTATGCTTAGCTATCATATTCTTGCATTAACATTTCCAGATTATGTTAGGCCTATTTCATAGTTCAGTTGTGTGTTTGTTGCAATTTTTGGGATTGGTTATTATTGGTTTTGGATTAGAGTTGGGGTTCTGTGAAAATGCATTTTGAAAAACTGGGGGTAGTCAATTTATGCTGTGGTGGTGGGGGCCATAGGGGATTCCAAAATAACCACAGCGACCTGCGTCAGAAAGGTTAAAACTATGCTGAAAAATAGAGAATAAAGCTCCTGTGGTTTGTGTTCATTTGTTTATGGGAGAGAGACAGAGAGAGTGCAGTTGTCAATCAGAGAATCACAGCCACACTGGATTTTGTCTGAATTAGGGCTGCAGATACTGTAAATAAAATCATATTTAGATGATTTTGACAGAAAATACGATTTGTAAAATGATTCACGATTAGTGATAATGATTATTTTTGCATCACAGTTTTCAATTTCACTGAAAAACTATTAAAATTATTAAAGTCAAGATGATTTCACATTTGTTGGGGTCTGTACAAAACAAACTCATTTTCTCTCATCTGGAGAACAGGATTTGTAGGCCAGGGCGTCTCCGCAGCACTACAGTACTACATTATAACTGTAGCTTCTGTCATTTGGATGTTGCACTTTTATGATTGATTTTCATCATATTCCGATTAATCATCACAAAGAATGTTTAAGTGACTGTATAGGTCTAACCAAATATAATTTCTTCACAAGACAAGATGCAAAAACACCATTCAGGCCTCATTAGGAAACAACGCTGAGACGACACCAGAGTCAGATAAAAGGGCTAGTGTTACAACAGGAGACAAGGAACATCAGGCAGTGAGGGAGAGTAGGAAAATATTGAAATTTAATGCATAAGCGAGTGTAAGTGACAGGAGCAGATATGTTAAAAGGGGTAAAGCTTAGAAGATCAAGACACTTAGTAACTGACACTAAATACTGGGAAATCAGGAAACTAACAGTTCTCAAAATAGTGATTAATGAACCCTAACACATTGTGAAAGATTGATTTTCAACAAACATAACATCTTGTGTTTTTTAAACCCAAGAACACACTAAGACAGATGCTGGTACACCCCAAAGACCACACACCCAAACACAAGAAAAGCAATCTAGTGTATGTGGTCCAATGCAGTGAGGAATGCACAGACCTGTATATTGGGGAGACTAAACAACCACTACACAAACGCATGGCTCAACACAGAAGGGCCAACTCCTCAGGTCAAGACTCTGCAGTCTACTTACATCTGAAGGACAGAGGACACTCATTTGAGGACCACCAGGTGCACATTTTAGACAGAGAAGATGGATGGTTTGAAAGAGGTATCAAGGAAGCCATCTGCACCAGGGTCGAGAAGCCGTCATTGAACAGGGGAGGGGGTCTACGCCACCACTTATCCCCCACTTACAATGCTGTCCTTTCATCACTTCCCAGGAAACTCAACAAACGTAACCTATTGGCCTCAGGTGAAGATACCAACGATGGTCGTTCAGTCTTGGCCACAGGTAGTCTTAACGACTGTAATGACTGTCGTCACAGCAACAAGGAACACTAACGAACCAGCAGTATCGATGACCCGGGCCAACGACCCCACTGAGGTTAAATAGCTGAGTTTCTCAGAACTGAAGAAGTCCTTTGGATGAGGGACGAAACGTCTTCCAGTATCTTCAACCAAGTCCAGTTGCCCTTGATTTTAACCTTCGTTGGTTAGTATATGCTGTTACCATGATGTGCCATTAATCATCACACTGTTCCTGACAACCTAAGTGTTCTTACTTTCCCAACATTGTCTCAGACTACATTTATTACCATATCATTCTCACCTTTAACCTTTTTTTCCATGAAACATTTGCCCATTATGATTACATATTTGCATAAGTACAAAGTTGAGGAAACTAGATGCTTTTGTCTTTCTTAGCCAGTGCATGTTGACATCTTCCCCTATCCCTAAAGTTTAGGTCAGCATGACCCTTACGGCAGAGTGAGTACACAAACATATTTTTTTGTATCCGAGACATTGGGCTCAATCAGGCCCCAAGTTCAGCAGGTTTATTATGTGGTCAGACCCAAAGTCCAACCCCAGAATCTGCACTGAAAGAAATGTAGTTTGTATTTGTTCAGTGGGATTACGGGAAAAACTTCTTGCCTGATTTTCATTACACTTGGTGGAATGGCGTAGCATGGGTCAAGGAAGAAACCATTACATTTTGGAGCGGATCTGAATCACAGGTTGGATACACTCATTATTTTTCACTTGGCCTACCTGTCTGTCAACCTCAGTGTGTCATTAACAACGCAGATGCACCCGAGGCGTCTCACACAAACGCTGAAGGGTACTTTTTGCGTCAAATAACTACGCTTTGTCACCCTTTCTGAAAGCATCGGTATATGACGCCCTGAGATGAGACATGACTGCCCTCTACCTGTGCTCACACTGCCTGTGCTCACACTGCCTGTGCCTGTGTCATTGTGCATGATTAGTTTTTTTGGGGGAGTGGCTTTGGAGAGAGGCCTGGAGCCTATACCACAAAACAGGATTTGAGCTTATCAAGAAAACTTTGGGGTTAACCCTGGCCCCTGACGGGTTGTGTCATATTAAAAATCCAGACCTTCTTCTCCATTACTTCAACTGATCAGCAAAAATATATTGGCAGTAAGTTGAGTCCAAAAATTCACTGAAGCCAGTCAAATATTGGTGCAAACCAAACATGCCAAAATGTGCAGAACTGAAAATAGCTTGTTACTGTCGTTAGTTTTTATGCCTTTCCCCTTTCTTCCCCGTCTCATGAAGCTCCTTTGTCCTTTAAAAAAATATTATTAGCTAATGTCTTTTTAACCAATATTTGTATTTGGTTTTGACATTTTAATGTTTATTTATTGCTCTCATCTCCTTGTTTACTTTCCTGTCACCACTCGTTTCTCTGGAGTAACCTTTCCCCTTCTCATCTTCTAGACATGTTTATTACTGGTCGAACCATCTCCCCTTCACTTCAGTTGCTGGTCCGGCAGGTAATACTCTCATCTCGGCTGCACCTAACTCTGCAGAAAACTCCTCAAGAGCAGGACGCAGGTCTTTGCACTGAACGCAGACTAATATATTTCTAAGCTGGAGAGAAAAAGAAATAACCAACCTTTTAAAACCTCAAAGGACAATTTAATTTAGAAAATGGGTACCTGTTCCCATACAGCAAAGAAATTTCTATGATACAGAAGTTAAAAAAGGAAGTGATTGATTGTGAACACAAGCAAACCCCCTCAAAGATTGTTTCTAAACTTTACAGTAGTTCACAAAAACAAAACAGAAGAAATTTACTCTATGTAAAATTGAAGTGAGAACTAGAATTGTGTACCTGCCTGGGATTGACACTAGTTTGACACTAATGTTCCTGTAACTATGAACTCTTAGGAAACCGGTGAGGGGAAAATATTGCATTATGGTAGCTTGAATGCTTTGGTAGTAAACTGTGCCTTATGACATACGGTCATAATGACGTATGAATAATTGTAGGCACCTATGTTTTGATTGTGTTATGTAGCTGTAGCAACAGGGAATTGAGAGGAGGACGAGACCTCTGAGTGAACTGTGTGTCACCAGAGAAAGATATATTGCTTCCTTGAGGGAGGGTTGTTTTCTGTACAACACTCCCCTGTCCTTGGACTTGTTTTGTCTCTCTGTATAAAAACTTTGCATTTTCTTCGCCTCAGAGAGCACTTCATTCCCGAGGTGTGTCCCTGCCATACTGCATGCAGAAGAAAACAACTGATTCATAGCATCAATATTTAGTGTTTCTCCTCTTTATCAGATTTCCCCCACACCAGTTGCCATGAATTTCTCACAGAGGTCTGGCCTTGATGTAACTTCCTGCTTGACTTTAAAGCTCTAGCAAATACCACACATGTGGAGGAGGATAGTCACAACATAACAACCTGGCCTTAAAACAAAACAGGCCCCAGAAAGACTCTCCTCTCATCCTTTACACCCAACATTACTTCCACAATATTTTCACATGAAAATGAATACATTCGACCAGGTGAACAGTGGATACACCACATTCATTTTGTGTATTCTATAAATTACAGTATAACTCCTACATCTTTACCCGATTTTGGAAAAATTGTTGATCTTGGGAAAGAATTTAAGAATTGTGCTGACTTGCAAGTCTTCTTACAGGAATTTCAGACTTAATGAAAAAATGAACTGGGCAAACTAAGCACACTGTACACAACATAAAAAATAAAAAATGTGTACGTATAGATCAAATGAAAAAACAATTTTACAACAATCATCCATGACATTGATAAAAATAGAAGGAAATTTTAATCAAGAAATGAGCTGATGCAAATGTTCAAATTGAATGTGTAAGTGGGCCAAATCAAATATGTGATAACAGTAAAAAACAGTAAAATATTTAGAATGTAGAAATAAGTAATTCTCAAATCAATTTATGCAATTGTGAAGACTAAAAGTCAAAGTTTCACATTAAATGTCCATTACAACAACTAAAGCACCCACAAGTCTTCCCAGGATGACATAGCTTGTGCGTCTCACAAACAGTAGTGGAATGTAATGTGGTGTCCGAACAATAATGCTGCGATGATGTGTTGAGAAGAAACCCGCTTGACACTGTTCTTGATCATAAAAGTTTATTAAATCAAAGAGTTCAGCATCAATTACACGCTCTGCATCAGCTTGGAGAGTGACCCAGCCCGATGACCACTCTGTCTCTCTGTACATCAAACATAGCTTATATAGGATATGTGTAGGTATCTGTTAGGTACCATAGAAGGGTTTGAGTCTGCAAAGTAAAGCTCCAACCCATAGAAGGGTACAGTACTATTCTTAGGTAACAAAACAAGGGGTTAGAGGTCAAATTCTATAGAAGGGTTCAGTCCCTTCAACCTACATAACCACCAATCACTGCTCTCCCCGTAGAACACCTCCCCCAAAGGTCTCTGACCATCTGTCTTGCTGCTACAGTGCTATTTTGAACTGTTATGCGTCAAATGCATAAGTAGTGGATACTACAGTAACTAAGTACATTCACTCAAGGGCTGTACAAATAAAATTTTACTTTACTAGAGTATTTTCTTTTCATGCCACTTTCTACTTATACTCCACTTCATCTCATCCACTGCGCCATCACCAGAGCTTTAGTTGATTAATCAATTAAGAGAAAATTGACCTTTTAACCCGTCAGTCTTTAGCAGGGGCTTATGATAATGGTAATGATGGGAAACTAACTTCAAGTAGTTATAGACCTTTCCTGTATGTGTTCTGTGTACCATGGTGTCTGTCATTGTTAGGTAAAGCATTCACACTTGTCAACTTTGGAGATGTGGGTTATCTGGTAGCTGAGAGTGGCACACAGTTGAAGGATATACGCAATCACTTGAATCAATAAAACGTGCTTTAGAATCTCTCTGCCCAGAGAAAGGACGGCTCATTGGGTGTGCTCCGAATGTCAAGGCCAACCTTACTCTGCTTACTGCAAAGATAATGGTTTCTTGGTCATCTTGAGACTGAACTAATCTAACCAGTAGACAAACTTCCAGCCAAATGAGGAACTGTGACGTTAGTTATTATAGGAAAGTGACAAAAAAAAAAGAAATAAAAAAGGGTGCCAGCACATAGAAAGTAATCATTTCTGGTGAAACCTTTTTAAACCCTTTTCTAGCGTATAAGAAAGCCTTTATGGCACTGCATCAGGTTTTCTCCACTGAAAGGGAACCCTATAGGGCACTCTTTCACATTTTCTGCTAGGTTGGCTCTTTATCATGTTTCATCTACCACAGATGATAGATTTTGTGTCTGGAATGAAATGTGACCTTCCAGCTAGAACACAACCTATTATATCTTGGAAGAATGTTGTCGTTAAAAATAAAAATTCAAGACTTGGGCCTGATGAAAGAGCCTGAACTTTTCCCAACATTTCTATTCTCAGCAAAAAACGACACCAGTAACAGTATGTAAGTTCTATCTGGGATGCAAGATAAGTATAACAATTAATCGCCAAGTCCCAAATAGCCGCCTATCCCATTTACTGTGTTGGTGTGGGAACCCATTTTGACAAATAAACGCCTTCCTCTATTTAACGTCTGGTCTAGTTTTTAATAGAAGTTCTTGATGAATAAAACCTCTTAAACCCTGTGGGGTCGCCCGCTTTAGCTGCTTCTAAGCTGCTTAGATGTTATGATACACATCGTTAGATCGGTTAGATTCTCCACAATTCAATAGTTAAGTTCATTTAAGGGAAACAACAAGCCCCAAAGTCTAATTCTTATAGATTTACCGGTGTAATCTGCCTGGTACAAGAGAGGAAAGAAAATAAAATGATGACTCCCCTTACCTTTGAAGCGCTCATTAAGTGCGCTTGTTAAGCCCGAATGTGTCCGTTCCTTGATTAGGCCCATTTATATTCCTTTAGTCTGTAAGGGTCCACCCATCAAAAGAATCAAAACAGCTTTTTATAAAAATTAATCCAAGTTGTGAATCCTGTCATGTGAAGTCCATCGCTTTCTGTCTGCTAACTTCTCTCATCCTGCACTGTGTTGTTGTCCTGATGTTACTTCAAAATAAAAAAGCATAAGCAGTCTGTCAGAACTAGATCAAATGAATGACGTGTATTTGATATTATTTGAACATTACAAGTATTATTCTGTTTGAAATAAATAAACCTCTGTGGCCTTGGCATGCTTTTTATGAAATCTCAGACACACCTGGCTTTGTGGAAAGTTCCAGTGGACTGGTGACTTCTGTGCTGTGTGCTAAAGACAGGGCATCAAATGCTGACTGTGCACAGCCTCACTGTGCTCCCTCAATCTGCTGTTTGTCTTCCTCACCCTCTGCCTGATAGCACACATGTTTGCAAATACACCCACGTCCTCCTGTTGAGCCTAGGCAGTCAGATACAGAGAGAAGCACACAAACACACATAGTGCTCTTAACTTTAGCCATCTATATAATATATTGCTGTATTGTATAAATCATACACCAATATGATTTGTAAGTTTTTACACAAATCTGCTTTAACATTCCTTCTACAAGAACATGGGAAAATTCTGTACATCAAACATGGTGCCCCGGTATATAACACGGTTCTGCTTTGATTGTTTTTGGATTACATCAACAGTTTTCATAATCCTTATTCTCACCAACTGAAAAACCTTGGTGCATCTGTTCCCCGTATGATTTCGAAGGTAGAGACGTTTCATGAGCAGGGTTCTCTAGAAAAGAAATTGTGGCACGGCACCAAGAGATCCAAGACATTGATAAGTGACCCATTAGATGCAATCTTAACTCCTGCCATTGATGTATATCTGCTTTGCTTGGATCTGATGCTCTTAAGCAATGCAGGCAGATATTAGATTGGGACAGGCCAGAATTGACCTTACATGTGAGGGTGACAGATGGCCATTTTGCTAAACAGACACAATAAATGTTGAAAATGTAACTATGAGAATTTTGTCATGACAAGAATGTAAGAAGGCTACTGATGAAAAATCTTCCTGTAGCAGTAGCTACCCTACAAAGAAATCCAAAGACATTGAACATGTGAAAACTAGTTTTATGTACATCGGTCAATATGGACAATTTTGTTGCCCATGGACACCGACAGAACGTTTGGAGTCAGAGGCTCTTGGTCTAATTAAATAATAGTCTCAGAGCAGAGGCTGTTCTGTGTCAGTGAACAGAACAATCAAAGGCAACATAGGATTATGATTTTAGATCCCTGTTCATCCACCACCTAGTAGCTCTTTACACATCCAGGCAAAACTGCCCTGAACAAAGCAGACGTTCCCACAGTAATTTCTGTGTCCAAAAAACAAGTAGAGTCATTTTAGGCCAAAAGTGAAGAAACTAAAGAAAAAGAACACTTTTCACATTCAACAGAAGATCTTTTTAAAGGAATTTTATTCAAATGAACACAAAATTAATATAAAACTTGTACAAAAATTACAGTAGCTGACTGCTGAACATTAGAAAAACATTAAAAACTGAAACGAGCAACAGCAGCTTAAAGTGCTCGTATTTAAAAGATTTACAAACTCTTCTTTCATATTTAAAGCAAGCTATAAACAGATCCTTATCCTGAACTTGGTGCTACTTCAACAGAAAAGCAGTGTACTTCATTTAAAGGTAATTTTATTTAGGGTGTTTCAAAGCTGAACTTCTACCATGTCTATCTTAACACACACACACACACACACACACACACACACACACACAAAAATGCTTCCAAATGCTTATAAGGATTATTTAAAACCTGAAAAGGCTGAAATAGCAAAACAAGAAAATAAAATGAACAAAGCTGGGGTTTTCCATTTTGATTGCAGAAATTAGTCACCACATCACTGTAAAAATTTCTCTCATTTACATGGTTTAACAGGTAGTTTCATGTGAAATTGGAGAAGTGGCATTAACCATTGAGGGAGCTACAGAAAAAAACACAGAGGCAAAAAGGGAGTTTGCGGATACATGGGATGTTATCTCACTGTTGGTTGTAGGAGAACCGTGAATCAGAGTTAAGGTGAACTTGGGGATTGTGCTGTGTTATTATGATGTTGCCATTTTGTGTTGGAACAATTGTGTTGGTGCTGTAATTGTTCAACCCCATTAACATTTGTGAATTGTTGGCCGGAGTGGGGAATTGAACAGCGCCAAAGAAGGCACATTCACTGGCCACGTTTCCATTTCCGGCACCCAGGGAACCACTTGTCCATGAGAGGTACTGCTGCTGCGGTGGCTGCTGAGGTGGCTGCTGCTGCTGCGGTGGCTGCTGCGTTAGCTGTTGCTCCTGCTGCTGTGTTAGCTGTTGCTCCTGCATTCCCAGCCTCACCCATCCTTGGGTCGGAGTTGCTGTGTGTCCAAAGTGATTTGCTTCCTGCCCTGGGTAAATCTGGCTTGGGTAGAGTCCCCCTGTAGTATACCCTTCATGTTGGTGCAAACTCCCAGTGTATACAGGAGGCTTGTTTGGTGTTATGTAACCTGCAACAGCCTCAGAAAGATAATCTGAATGTCCATTTGCAAAATAAGCCATTTGGCTGTACTGACCATACCCTCCTGAAGCTGCCACAGTGTCACTGGCGTTTGCTGCTGCAGCTGTGGAGAAACAGTAAGAGATCTGATTGTGGTCCTGTCCATTAAAGCCGCCCACAAACTGCTGCTTAGTGGGGTCTGGCCTGGCAGTTACGATTGTGTTAATGGGCAACTGACAAACCCCATTGCTAACAGTGGTACCGGCAGAGTCTGCATTAGATGTAGCTTTAACCAGCTGAGACTCTGAATCCCATTCTTTTTTTGCCACTGTAGATGTAGTCTGCACACACTTTGTTTCCCATCTTCTCTCCACAGCACTTTTGGTTGAAGCGTTAGCGGAGGCGGTAGTAGTCTCAGCATTATCTGGAGCAGACGTGCAAGGGTGCATATTTATCTCAGACTTCCTCTCTCTCACCATAGCCATTATCTGTGCGAACGAGTCCCAGTCCATAATGGGTGTGTCTTGCTCATCAGATCCAGTTCCTGTGCCTTCGTCCTTAGCAGACAGGAGGGTGGAGGTTGCAGCATGGTTAACAGAAGTGGACTCGGAGGCCGTTTCAGGGCTGGGCTGACTGATAGGCTGCAATGCACTGCATGAACATTTGGCTGCAAAAGGACCCTTGAGTTGGTTATTTATGTTAGGTCTGACCAGTGTTTCATCAGCTGACCTTTTCTTGGTTGAAAGGCATTTATTGCTGGGAGACGGGGACGGGCTTTGACTAGGACCAACAACAGAGGAAGATGGGGATTCGGAGCGCACTTCTGCCCGTTTCACTAGCAACTCGGGGACAGGCCTCTGCTGCTGCGAGACTGGTGGTTTGACTTCTGGTTGCACAAACAGGCTCACACAGGTCCCTTTGGGAGAGATATGTGTGGCAGCAGCAGAGAGTGGAGAGACAACTGAATCAGCCTGTAAGGAGACACTGGTCACATCCAGACTCAAGACTCTTCCTTGTTTGACCTCATCCAAATCTCCAACCATAGCAGTGTCTTCCAAATGTGGTTCGGTTTTTTTTCTCGCTTCTAAAAGACAGAGAAGAATGAATGAGAGATAGAAGAAAAAAAAAAAAAAAGCTTCAGTATATTACAGCTTTGAGAAAGATTATAAGCCCCATTCTGAGTCCTGAAAATGATTCCAGTAGTGTCTTACAAACATTTTAAAAGCACAAGAAAACATGAATACATTTGTACTTTTAAACTTATAATTGAAGAAACTTTTGTACATTTTAAAGTTAAATGCATTAATTTGGTGCAAAATTAAGAAGCTATCTATGAAGAAATTTGTATGCTTGTAAACAATGTTGTGCTCTAAAAAAATATTTCATAAAAAACCCACCGTGGAGCTATAAATGGTGGTGAAATGGCAACAAAAGTCAACACATTTATTTAATGTTTTTCTAAAAACCCTAAATCAAAGAATAGAAAATAGAATAAGTAATTTCCCTAAAATGTTGTTGTTATTTTTTACTTTTAATGGACACATGGAATATGTTTAATCCATCCCTCCATCGTCAACCGCTCATCCTGTGCACAGGGTCGCGGGTAATATGTTTAATACTTTGTGAATATAGTCCAATTAATCTTATGTCCATACTGTATAGACACCACATTTTGAAAACCGGGCGTTGTCACATGTGTATCCTTGCGCTAGGGTTGCCACCTGTCCCGTATTAGCTGGGACGTCCCTTATATTAGGCCTAATTGAGTTGTCCCATTCGTGACCTCTCTTGTCCCATTTTTTGACAACTACGCTCAGGGTGCTAACTATGGTTGAGCCAGGGGGAGCTCAGCTCCTCTAAAAGCATGATTTGTGATCTTTTTTGGGGGGGGGGTCTCTAAAATATTGACAGCATGCTTTATTGACATTAATCTCTGTATTTCTCTATCATGATCATGCAGTGCGTCAGACTTCATTTCATGATCATTCCCTCTGGCTGAAAGAATATTACGCATGATCCATCCTGCAGCTGGGGGCTCTCCGCAACGTCACGCACCTTTCTAAATTCTTCCCTCTCATGGAGAAAAGAAAGGTCAGGTCGCAAACACAAAAGGACTGTGTTGAAGGTACCTGCTGTAAATAAGTATTGTTAAACCTACCAAATATTTAATTAAGAGATAGCTATCAGTATGACAAATTGCTTAAAACAATACACTGTATATTCACACAAAAATAGGCTATACCCGCACTGCAGCAGTGCCACATTTTGTCCCTTATTTCATAGTGACAAAGTTGGCAACACTACCTCGCGCTAAATTCATCAAGTCCGACCAGAGTCCGACCCAATTTGATAAATAATGTTGCATGTGGTTCTCGTATGGTGTAACATGAAGACTTCACAGCCTCTCTTCAGGTAGGACTCTCATACTGCAACATTTGTCTTTGTAAAGACACAAACTGACAGGATAAAGTCGCTAACCTGCCTGTACGCTCACTCTGGGCCGTTTCAGTGAATTTACCATAAAGGCTTGAATACATGTGCACTCCAAATGGGGGCGCGGCTAGCTTAATCGCCTTCTCTCAAGCGAGTGAACAGACCGACAGAGAAATATAGTCAACGATACCGTAGTTATCTCGGAAGAAACGTAGTCGATTCGGGACGAATGCCAAAGTGTGCAAGCTTACAGTAGCGCAGAGCAGCGGCCAAATGTTAGAGGTCTGAAATTTTATTATGATGTGTAATGAGATGTGTAAAAATATTTTCATTTCATTTTGAGATGGTGGAGCAAATTAGACTCTGGCGGGCCGCCATGGTCTCGTTAATTAATGGGAAATACTGAGTCAACAGTTTCTCGTTAGCAGGTAACACAAGTCATACATTTCACTTGGTTTTGAGCCCAGGGTCTGGATAAGCTCAGGAACATTTTAATGAAATGAGTCAGAGTTCAACAATATTTGACACCATAAACACTCACTTAATATCATTATTACACACTGGAATTCTGGGTTACTTTTATCATGTTTTTTGTGTACTTTCAAGCAAGTTCACAGGAGTGGACTGCAACATGTGGGGAAAAAACTTCCAATACTGTAAATATTATGATAAATCAAACCATTGACACTTCTGTGGTCTGTCTCAAGTGCCTGTGCTGACAGCATCTCTGTGGGAAGAGATTCCTCTAGACTCTGTTGGCCATCAGGCTGCTGGTCTATGCAACAGAAATAAAAACTCATTGCTCAGACCCACATTCTGCCTTTATTAGTCACTTTAGTTGTGTATAAGAATGAAAACATGACCCTGTGACTGGACTAATGGGACTCACCTTTTGGTTGTGAAGGGGTTGGAAAGAGGACGTTCAGTCTCTGTTCTTTCCAGATGTCTTTTACAATTTCTAAAGCTATGAAAAGCAAAGAGCACAGTTGATACTACACACTGTACACTCCCATGGATCATAAACTCTGTAGCCTTTTAAGCTTACTGCTACCTTCACTGAATGAAGCTTTCTGAAGATACTCATACAACTCGTTTCCCAGCATTACACACTTTGAAAGAGAAAACACAAACAGGTTAACAATTAGCATTATGGATGTGTATTTCCACTTTGTACATTAACTTGTTTTTTGTTGGCAAATAAAGGTTAAATAGGTTGTCCAACATAATTACTTTCTGAACTTATCAAGAAGACAACAAATATGTTTAGAATTATCTTTAACCACATCTTGCTCAAATTGCCCCAAGGACATTTCAGATAACATACACAATACATGGGCCCAATAGGTTACCTGCGCCTCGGTCTTGTCCAAGCCTTCGCGGTCTGAGAGTTTGTCAACAATGTTTAATAAATTATCTAAAAGTATGTTCTCTTGGTGCTCATCATCCCGCCAAAGCGACATTAATTTGGGGTCCTGCCTCAGCTGAAAGATATGCATATTATCTCATAAAATACCGTGGGAGCAAACATGAAATACTTTTGTTGTTTAGAGGTTTTCAATACATTATTAAGACTCCACTCACTGTGTATGACAACTTGTGCTCAATGCTGATGACGTGGGCACAGATGAGTCCCGCTGGGAGCATAACCTTGCAGCTCTCACACAAGAAGAATGCTTTCCGAGTTATCCCTCGACACTCCCAAATAGAGCCCAGACCTGATGAGGACACACCGTCTTTCACATATGTGTGTTTTTATGACATTACATAAAAGGGTCTGCTGTGTGAGGATGGAAACACCCACCTATTACTGGTTCATTTTCCAGTCCCCGCACCTTCAAGTATGTGGACAAGTGACTGCCCTGAGTTTTTTCGCCTGTTGACACCCATGCAAAATAACAAAATCAGTACATTAAATGGCAACAACTGCTGACTCACAAATGCTTAACACCTACCTACTGGCATCCTTGACAGTGCCTGTGATGTACTGTGGTGTATGGGTACATGTTGTGTTCTCTGACTGTGTCCTGATTGCTTCTGCTGGTCGGCATTCACTGTAGCGGAGGAAGGAAGCGTGTCTGGGTTGAAGAGTGTTACAAGTGATGTTTTCTGAGTGCCTTCCAGCACCTTCTGTGTGTCCTGTAAGTCTGGATCACTTCTCTCTTGCTGTTGTCCCCTCAAAAGAGTCTCTTGGCATGTATCAGGAGTTTGGGCAAATCTGCCTGCAGATTCTGAGTCAGCGGCAAGAGGATTGGCACAACCCAGAGGTTTCCCCATTTTGAGAGATTATGGATTAGTGTAAATGAGTGATGATGCAGAAGAAGATGACACACATACCACACCAATAAAGAGATTGTAAAAACAATATAATCACTTTATTCTACAAAGTAACAGCTAATAAAGTAATAGTGGCTTAAAATTACTAATGTCATCCAGAGCCATCCTCTGGCCGTTAAATTTACTTTACTTTGACTACTCGTCAGAATTGTATGTATATGTTACAGACACAAAAACTGAAGGCAAGGCTGAATGTTTACCAGAACTCTCAATTGCAGTTGTGACTTCACCCGTAGCTTGAGACTCCACATCCGACTTAACTCTCTCAAATTTGTCTAAGAAGAGCAGAGAATTTGTATTAGTCCAGCTGTAAATATGTTAATCATTATTTTATTTATTATTATTTTCTGTTGGTCAATGACTGTGTAACTGTAATTTTCTTAATTAATTACGCCAATATAAAACAGTCTGAATAACATATCTCATGAAATGGACATACGAGTCTGGAGCAAATCTTGCGTGTGAGTATGTGGGCTCTCACCTGGCGTCTGGGGCTCATATTTGTTCTCATGCTCTGATTGGTTATCAGTAGAAGGTCCTGCCATTTCATTCTGTGGCACGGAAGTCCCTGAGAGACAAAATCAGAGTAATTGGTGTACTGTAATTCCATACTTCTGTGTCTCATTCACTGGTTTTCTAATGTCACAGACGAATCATGAGTTTCTCAACTTAACAAAAATAAAGAATCTTTTTAACTTTAGCTAAGGCAACAATACGTTTCTCAAACTTGGTGCTAAGAAACGACAATTGAATTTACCATCATCTGGGCTTGAAATTTCACATGGACTAGCAATGGCAACACGCTGTCTCAAAACCTCTGCAGCATCAGTTGTGGAGGATGAGACCTGCGACTTGTTCTGTTTCACCATTACTTTCACCCTTTCTAGAGCTGAGAATAAAAAGAGAATTATGATTTTCTCCACATTTATAAAACAAATCTGCAGTATTGTTATTTTGACTGGATAATTTCTCTCTCAGTCCCCTCTGACCCCACTGCTAACATGGCTGAACAACTCAACAAATAGAGACGGACGGTTCTTTGTAATCTTTTCACCTTGTAAGCCACGTAGCAGTAGATTTGTGAAGGGTATTAGAATAATCTTTACCTTTGTTGTCTGGAAGACCATTCAGCTCGTTGTACTCATCAATGTTCACTTCCATTGTCTAGCAGAAAGACAGAAACAGGCACACAATGTTAAAACCATAACATGCTACTTCGTTAAACACATTTCCATGATGTATGTTCTCATGTATTTGTTGTCATTTCTTAACTGTATCCCTCATAACCAATGGCCAGTAATTCAATACACTGCATTTAACTAAGATACAGAACATTCACCAATTTCAATAATTTAGGCTCCTTAAGCAGTACAAATATGAGTAAATAACATCAATTCAAGTGAGCTTATCATTAAAGATAGGTGTCAATTATTTAAGTTGATCATTGCACTAAAGACCAGAACGGTTTGTAAAAAAACAATGTGGTTACGCAACAACAATCTTGCACAGTATCTTTGACTTAAGTATAATTCTTTGTTTAAAAAAAAATAAAAAAAAAAAAAAATTTAAATTAATTAATTGTTATAATTAAAGTGTATTTAATTATTTTTTGTATTATTATTATTGGACATCACACCATTAAGTCAGATTAACACAGACAAAAGGTTTTGGGTCACGTTTACCTGGGCGGAGCGGGATCCTACATCATTCTCAGCCAAATTGGCTACCATGTTGTCCAATTTGCTCTCCATGTCTGATGGCTTGGCTTTCCACCAAGGGTACATCTTTTTCTAGTACGAATATTAAGAGCACACAGCTAAGGTTTGTAATACTGCCCTGTTTTACAAGCTTCCTGCATTTTCTACAAGACTTGTCAAGTACGCACCACATAGTTATACTTGTGGACACGATCAAGTAGGTGATCGGACTTCTGCATCTTGACTGAACACAGCTGACAGTAGACTTGCCGCTTTCCTCTACATGACACTACAATCAGCTGGTTTATGCCTATAAAGTAAAGACAACAATGCATTGATTCTGATTGAAATAAGAGACCAATTCATAGAGACATATTTACATGTATATCTACACAAAATACTTACCAACTCTAGGAGCTGTTTCATGTGGCTTTGTCTTGCTTGCGGAGGCATGTGATGGCTCTGGGGGTGGACTCTGGTTTTCAGACCTGACGGACATGAGCGTGGTCTGGCGGAGAGCTGCAGATGCGTTACTCTTAGGAATTTTTGATGCGACATCAGCACTTGACCCCAAGGAATTCTTCATATGTACAGTCTTGACAGAGGCTTCTGTGTTTTCGTCTTTAACTGACATATTAGTCATTTTAGCGGTGGCTGCAGATGTCACCATAGCTTTGGATGAAGTTTCTGAATTTTTGGAGGCAGGTACAGTTTTGCTGGTGACTTCACGCACTACTTTGGATCCTGTGTTAGAGATGGTGGCAGCTTTAGATGAAGACACTGCAACTTGCATTGATGCAGCTGCAGTCCTGCTTTCCAGTGGTTTGGACACTGTTGCAGGCATTGTGGTTGAGGTTGTACTTGAGTTGGTTGCACTAGAGGTGGAGGTGGTTCCTGTCAGTTTGGAAGCATTTGCTGTACATTTAGAGAGGGTTGCACCGGCACTGGAGGTATTTGCTACATTTTTGCAGGCAGTTTCTCTCAATGTGGTGGAGGCTGTATAATAGCTGGAGCTGGTGGCTGGAAGTTTGGAGATGGTTGATAATATTGTGGTGTCTGGAATAGAATTTGAAGTTTTGGCCGTCATGGGTCTGGTGAGGGTGGTTCCCGTGGAATATGACGTTGCTACAGTTTGACATGTCCCCTCTATTTTGGAAGTGGTTGCTATTTTCAATGACCCCACATTAATGTGTTCAGCTTTTCCTGTGGATTCAGGATGCATACGTGCTGTGTTTGCCCCACTTATAGACACATGAAGACTTGTTGTTTCTTTACTACATCTGGAAACAGTAAGGCAAGTGTTACCATTGTCAGCTGAATCAAGCACTTTGATATTTGTCATTTTGACGTCTTCAGTTGTTTTGGAGGTGGTTCCTGCCATTACAGACACAGCTGCAGCAACTGAAGACTGCTGTGCCTCAGAGTCTTCTGAATCATCATCAATCTCCATCTTCACCACCTTTGAAATGAAACAATTGTATTCAGTAGACTGCTCATTTTTTCAGCTGAGAGCTACACAGAACTGTCACTGCCCGTCAAATGTGTTACCATGTTAACTTTATAAGCCTTTTTGTTAAAAGGTCCAGTGTGTAAGATATAGGGGGATCTATTAGCAGTATGTAAGCATGCTTTCATTAGTGTATAATCACCTGAAAAAACCCCCACACGTTTTCATTAACTTATAATGGGCCCTTTCTATCTACAGAAGTAGCAGGTACTCTTCCACAGAGTGCGCCATATTGCCCAGGACAGACAATATAACACGTCCTTTTGTGTTTTTCACAAGTTTCGCAGCCACTGTAATTTCTGAGCAAAAGCAGAATAAAATGAGTGTGTTGTCTGGTCAAAACCCTTCTGTCCCTGACTCAAACATGTTGTCAAGATAGAGAGATAAGGTGAACACAAGTGCAGTGAGAAAAGACTCGAGCAGAATTGTGGTGCTCCATTAAGCTGCATCTTCCTGTTATCGATTTTATCTGCTCAGCATGCAGATTGACTTCTTTATGACGAATGGAAGAAATTGACTAACCCGGAATTCATCCATCGCAGAATAGACCTCATGCTGAGTATGAAGGGTTACTGATGTGTCCACAGGATGAATAGCAGGCAGAGCTGTGGTTGAAGGGAGTTCACGTCCGCCGCCCTGCTGAGTATGAAGTGCCTTCACTGTTTGTATGGCTGTGTAAATAATGGAAAATACAGAAGAATATTAAACTGTAAAAACGTTCAGACTCACTTGTAAAAATCACACAAAATTAACTTCAACCAAAACCAGTCAAGACAAAAGAAGACACAAATTTAAGGAAAGATGTACCCTTACCTGATTTAAAGTTTTGCTTTGAGATGTTATTGTAAATATCTTCATCCAGATCAACAACCTGGAGACAAACAACAATTAGTAAAACATATTACTGGCTCCTTTTCTCTCCCTCTTTATGATTTTTCTTTTAGATCTTTACGCCAATATTATCCAGGACTGACGTTTTATTTTTATTTTTTTTTTTTTTTAAGTGTCAGTGTAACATGTCTACAACTAAAGTAATTTAGACCAGCATCACACCTGAGCGTCTCCATATCCCTTCTCCTTTTCAACCAATGCAGCCTGATGTCTGATGATCCTCTGCCTCTGCTCGTTCCATGACAGTTCCTGTAAACCCTAATGTCAGAAACATACACAAGTGAAGGTATTACTACTATAAAACAGACCATCTGTTGTATTTGTATCAAACGTGGTAGAAACTAGGAAACACCATAATTCTGAAGGTGGCTTTACTCTTTACTACTATGGTATGCTTTAAAAGTAAGTTGACAGTAATGTTAGCTGTTGTAGTAGCAAGCTATGAATATTGATCATTCTTCAACATGGTATTTTGATACTTTTGGATATAATAGGAACGTGTGTTTTAAAGGATAGGTTTGGAATGATTAAGTCTATCTTAAAACAATATTAACATGAAAAACGTAGATTAAAAAAAAAAAAAAAAAAAAAAGACATATTGGTTGCAATAATTCCTTCCGTTCATACTGGCTGTAAAGGAATATTGTCAGTAGACTCACTCATTCAAATCGGGTGGGTATCCTTGACCTAGCAGTTGTGTGCATCTTTACTGCTGGTGTTTTGTTCAGGCAACAAACTTACATTCAACTGAGAGTTTGTCAGAACTTCTCTCTCCACCACTGCTCAGCAAGGAAAAACACTAAAATGACCATAACGTAGCATTAACCATCATTTATGCACAGAATGACAACTGTGTAATTGTCCCCCATTTCTTACAGTGTAGTGGCTCCATTAAAGAGGTGGTATTATGCTCATTTTCAGGTTCAAAATCCTATTTAGAGGTTGTACCAGAACAGGTTTACATGGTTTAATTTTCAAAAAACACCATATTTATTGTCATACTGCACATTGCTGCAGCTCCTCTTTTCACCCTGTGTGTTGAAGGCTAAAGTGATACAGCTTGTCTCTAAATGATCTTTATTGGGAGTTGCACATGCGCAGTTCCTAGTTAAGGACTACTAGCCAATCAGAAGCAGAGAAACAGCGAAGGCTGGTAATAGCCAATCAGAAGCAGAGAAACAGCTTTGATTCAGCTGTAGGCTACGTGTTGCCGACCATGTTGGCAATTTGGACTGGAGCAAGAGTTTCAGAGTGGTGAGTTATTAATCTGTAACAAAAGTATCTTTTATCCATAATGTTTTAACTGAGCTCTGTCTCTACATCACAGTAACAACTTTATGTCCATTGACTGCTTGGAGGGTAGCTAGTGTTTGGAAGGGAGAGGAGAGGTGTTTTTCCACCAGTGTTTTTGAGGGCGTGTCGGACTAGTCGCTCAGCGAGCATTATGACACGTATTTTCATTGTGACGTCACAAGAAAGGGAAGTAAAGACTGGACTACAAACGAGCTGTTTTCAAGCACTTCAGAGCAGTGTTTTCTGTGGGAGATGGGAACTCCCTTTGGGCTGGACTTCGGGCTTTTTCCACTTTGCAAACCTATTACATGCACAAAAAAGATATTTAACTCAATAAAGGAGAGGGAAAAAGCCAAAAACCATAATACCACCTCTTTAAGGAATCTTGGCCAGTATGGAGAGGAGGAAGGATTACATTGACCAATAAGTCTTTCTATGTAAATACAGAATCTGACACTTCTGACTACTAAAGGCTCGCACAGACTACACGACTTTCAGCGACGGCAAATCGCCGTGCTGTTCACGCTACACAGCTTGCAATGATGTGATGGGAGTCTTGAAGTCGTTGTGGCGTTCACACTACGTGACTGTTGGATGACAGGGGTTCACACACTACACGAGCTGACAAGACGCTGGTCTCCAAACCACGTTTTGTCAAGAAAACACACGTGCAATGTGAAACAAATGACGTGAATCTACACACAAAACAGCTGTTGTTTGTTATTATAAAGATAGCAAATATAAAGACAAAGAATAAGGGTGAAAGAATGGATTGGCACACCCAGGTAGCAGGGATTGTCTGAGCCAAGTCTGAGCCAGACGGTCACCAAGCTCACCAACCGGCAAATTGGGCTTAAAATCGTGTAGTGTGAACTAGGCTTAAGATAGACTTGAAAAAAGCCAAACCTACTTATATTAAATTTACTCATTACCAGATACACTTTCTGGTGGTATAATCCAGTAACATGGCTGACGATGTCCTTCTCTAGGATCTTCAGAGAGCAGCACTCACAGAGGTAGATAGGGGCACGCTGATCACAATGGCATTCAATGAGAGCACTTAAACCTAGAAGACATATCATTCACCATTTATTGTGTTATCAATATTAAATCTGGCTAGAAATTTTCACAGAAGTAATTTAATTAAGAATAAATGAAGCTCATGTACATATGAGAAATCAAAATATCATAACTGAAAGTAACATTTATGGTACAATCAGCGTAACAACAACATTACCAGTGGACAGTAACAGACCAAGTTTCCTACAATATTTAAAATTTTTTTAAAGGCACTGACCAACCACAGGCTCTCGGCTCTCCCTCTGGAGATACTGCCACAAGTGATGTCCTTGTTGGGGGTTCACATTAGAAGACACTGTAAGAGAGCCATAGACAACCACAGACTGAGACATTTTCACAGAAACAGAAAAATCATCCACAAACCTAAATATGACATTTAGATACCTTTATCCTTCGCAGTCTGACTTGGTTTTCCTCCACTTCCTTCAGATGCGTCTTGTTCGGAGGTGAGCCGCTGCCTTTTATAGTCCCATGTGTCCTGTGATTTTTCAAACATGTTGCTAGGCCTCTTTCTTTCATTTTCTTTGTAAATGTTATTCAACGGTGTCGAGACCTCTTTGCTACTTTTGCTCCATTTTTCTCCAAACTCTGTTCCATCGTTTTTGTCTGTGTTCTGGCAGCTTTCTAGGGTCGCTGTAGGCTCTTCTACCTTCTCCTGCTTAATAGTCTTTTCTACCTTTTCCTCTTCTATCTTCTCCACCTTTATTGCCGGGCACGTACTATCTGCATTCATTGTCTCCTCTGAACTAGCTTTTGAAAACACCTCTCTTCTCTGCTCTGACTCTTTTTCACTTTGTGTATGAGTCTTCTTGCCAGCTGCACTTTCTACACAGTGTATACTGGTGATTTCAGCAGCAGCTTCTACTGAAATCTTTTTCATGGTCGTCTCATTATTGTCTATGGACTTCTGACTGTAGTTTTTCTCAGGCCCCTCCATCATCCTGCCGTTTTTCTGACTGTTGTCTCTCACATGGTCCTTGTCCATGTCTTTTGAAGTTTTTCTGGGGGCTGAGAAACATGACATTAAAAAAATGAATCTGATTATAATCATTTGCAATGGTTTATCAAGTATCCATCCAGTGAGCAATAATACAAACAGCAAAAAAAGAGCTGTCCAAGTTAAGAAATCAGTGGATGAGGTGAACAGATTAATAGTAGAGGATTTCCAGGAAGCCAAATGTACCCTCATGATATTTTTCTTAACTGCTACACCAAATAATAATTAAATATAAAAAACAAACAAAATCTCCCACCATGCCACCACTCAAGCCTAAACCATACTAGTAAAGGTCATACTGAACATAAAACATCTACATAACAAAATGTTTAGCTAGTATATCAGGCTTGACTTACAAAGCTTCATTTTTGGTATTATTTCAGGTTCAAGCTTTCCTTTGCCTTCTCTCCTCTTCACAGATGCCAGGATGGATATTGCTGGAACAAAACAGTATAATAAAGTCAAGAAACCAATTCACAGTTACAGATGACCATGTGGAACATTGTTCACAATAGTTACACTCACTTTTCCGGTAGGAGCATGGCTCCCAGATGGGCGTCTCCAACGCCATGATCTTTGAAGGCAGAAAATATTGGAACAAAAGCATTAGCGCATGGCTGGAGGAGACACTCCACAAAGATAGTAAATTCAGTTTCTAGTATAGAATACCTGTGCATGTGATACAGAATGAATACGTGCGGCCTGTTTTGCCAAGTCCAACAAGGCCTCTGCATCCATGCTTGAGTTCAGCGAGCCTGGGTGGAAATGGTTCTACACAGACACAAAGACACACACAAAAATGTCTAGTCAGTTTTTCTGGTACATTTAAAACAGTCATTTGACGCCATGTGTACAATATCCAATATACCATAGCTATTCATTATTATTACATTACAGTACATTATTGTACTTATTTGTGTGGTTGTGTTTTTTGCAACTATAGCTAATAAACAGTATTGACAGACACATTTTAAGACATGTAAACATGTAAAAAAAAAATAAGAATATACTGTATAATTTATAATATAATTAGCATTGGGTGGTGAGAGATTATTATAGTATGATTTTTCTATTACTCAGGGTAACCAAAATTATTGTGTTTTCTTATATTGATCTCTGATGTATTTTATAGGTAGAAGTTTATATGTTGGTTTATCATTTATTAAACTAGACCTGATGTGTGTGTTTTTTGGAGAGGTGCAGGAACAGGGGGTCTCTGCATGATCAGATAAGGACACTTGAACAATGGGTGAGGGGTGGTTTGGAATGTGGTACAAAACATCTCTTCTCCAAGATATCTTATTTCAGGAACTATGCTCATAATCTGCCCAGCAACAGCATGATGATTCGTTGAGTCAGAGGACAACATCATGGACTGACCTACACTTTTGTTTTATTGTTTTATGAGGTGAGGATGTATACTAAAACACTGGGTCAGGGAGAGATAGCCAGTCAGACAAAGGAAGATTGACCCAGAGCTCTGTAAGCTTTATTCATTTGCTTGTAATAAAACTGATTAACGTGGACCAAAAACATCTTCTCCTATTGCTTCATGAAAGAACACGCAGGCCAAGGACTACACATAGTTTAAAAAGGGTAATTTAAAGTCACGGTCCAACAGTGGTAACATGTTTAATTTTTGAATTTTGTCTAATGAATTAAGTAGTAATAAAACAGTAGTTTGGTGGTAAAATGTACAGCAGTGTCATTGTCCATAAACATAACTGTAGTTATTGTAGTCTGCTATGGATAACGTTATAAAATGAGAAAGATGAACATAGACTAAACAGACTGCAACAAATTACTGACCATTTTAGCGAAGTTTATCTTTAACAACTGTTGACAAAGCATTTTAATGAGGTTGACAGAAATGTCTGTTCTCGTCAGCCTTTTAAAAACCTAAAAATGTTACCAATCAATAAATTGTTTTTAAACTACAGTTTTTAGTATTAACAGTTCAACAGGACAAACATGTACCAATAACCAATATTGTTTCAGTTAAGTTACAACATATTTAATAATCCCTTTTGATGATGGACATTTTAAAATTAACTCAAATCAAGACCATATCTGATCAAGTTTAACAACTGACATTTTTTATCAGAAGTTTGGCATTTCAGCTCATGGCATCTGTGCAAATACCATAGACTGTTTAAAAATACCTGCCCTCTCTCGTCCTCCCCCGGTGACCACAGCATGTCCAACAGTGACATAACACGTTACTAAGCTAGCTAACGCTAGAGTTAGGCAACTAAAATTGAGTAAGCTAAAATATAAGCTTCTATGTATGATATAAAGTATTAATAGAAATAAAGATAACACTGGATTCGAGCAACGTGTACTTGCTAACGTTACATAGAAGCAACCAGAGTAAAATTAATTGTAAATGTGCTGGCTCTTGGGTTTAGTGTAGTAACTTACAGTATGAAATCATTGACAAGGACCCCTCCATTATTAGTGCATTCACTGTCAGACAGCTATCCCCCTTTTCAGACCACAACCAAATAAGTTAGTTCTTTAAACACTGAAAGGATGAGTGACACAAGAGGGGCAGTAAATTTAACATGGCCTGTTCCCTGTCGTGTCCAGGGTTGACCACTCTGAGGAGTTGCACCACAGAGCCCACACAGTGCTGCCAGAAGCTTGGCTGGAGGGTTTTGCCTTTTGCACACTACTGAATAATTAGTGAAACACATACATGTACAGTATGTTTATATTCTTATATCCAATTGACATTATACATACACTCATAAGTTATTAAAGTCACATCTCTAATTAAGGGCAAGCACTTCCACTTAAAAGAGCAGTCAGGTTTCCTTAGATCTCATATAAATTGCCCTTTGTTAATAGTCTAACCTGTAATATTTCTCTCCCATAGACTTGCACTGAATTAATTCTCAAAATGTCAATATCGTATGGGCCAGTTGGCATTAACCTGGGTAAATTTCTCAGAATATTCATATTAACAAAAATAATGACCCCAAAGCTCTCAAGCTTTACTGAACAGCTTTGAACTCACCACCATGTAAATGAAGCCACTCATTATCATGGTAAAAGTCTTAACTAGCTTATAAAAACAGGGTTAAACATTGATAATGTTTCAGTATTAAGATGATCTATTTCTGACCATCCCTGAATTTGCCAACCTAATATTAACAAAAACAAAAAATTTACAGTTAGAGATTCCTAGATGGCAAGGCTCAAGCAAAGTTCTCCAATATTATGAGTAATACAGTTATGACTGCTCTTTAAATGATATGGTTGAAAAATTAACAAAAACAGTGTTAATTAGTTAACAGAATCTGTAGAGCAGCTGAAGGAAAATAGGGGGACACAAGGCGTCACCAAATCCTGTAAAAACAGAACTTCACCGGTATTACGTCAACTGACCTTTCCAAGACTAACACGGAGTACTCCTCCACCTCATGTATTACCCTGTATCTAGAGCATTTTTTAAGCAGGTATTCAATAGTGGTTGTAGTCATGTCCTGAAGATGCCTTCAAAACAGCTGTTGTAAAACCCTTACTAAAAAAAAAAAAAATAAAAAAAAACACAGCCTAAACGGTAATGCAAGGACCACCCGTAGGCTGATATCGAACCTTCCAATCTTTAGTAAGATACTTGAAAAGGTAAAAAGGGACTTTTTTTATTTTCACTGGTTCCAGTGCAAATAAACTCATTTCTTGAAGAAAATATTACCTGAATAAATCTCAATTAGGCTTTAGACAATACAACAGCACTGAAGGTGCTCTTACTAAATGTCTGAGACCTGTTTCAGGGTTGCACATGATAGTTTCTTTGGTACATTATGATTCTCAATATATATGGTGCCACGTGGTAACATCATCAGAGAGCACAATGTATGTTTCCATGCAAGTGATAAGCTACTGCACAACTCTGCTGAACCAAATAATGCTGCAGCTATAAACTACCTTACTGTTAGAATAATCTTTATCAAAGAATGACCAAGTCACGTAGACATTTCCTAGCTCTGTCTATGCACCAGGTCCTGTTTTATAAGTTGACTGAGACTATATAAGTTCACCGAAAACGCTCGCAACAGTTTAACATACTTAAGCATAGCACATTTTTCTACTACTTTTGGCAATAAATAAATGGAGGTACGTTAATGTCTTAAAGTTAAACAAGGACAAAACTGAAATCCTACTAGTGGTCTTCTGGGGAAATTGACTCAAGAAGGAAACAAAAACATAATTTTTACACCTTAGAAACACAGCAAGTGCGACTATTTATAAATTAAAAAAGATCCAGAAAAACTTATTCATGCCTTTATTTCAAGCATTAGTCCTGTTTTAGCTGCTCTGCACTGGCTTCCTTCAATATTTAGAATTTATTTGGAGGTCCTCCCTCCTGATATTCAAAGCTCTTAACGGGCTAGGACCAAGCTACATTGCTGACTCCCTTGTTCACAACTTGATTTCAAGAACACTCTGATCCCCTACTCCCGGTTTATAGGAGGTTCTCACAAACAGCAGAAAGAAAATGCAGCCTTTGACCGTTACACCCCAAAGCTATGAAACACACTAACTATAGATATCTGGAAAGCCTGCAAGCTAAATATTTTAAAAAGAAAGCTAAAAACTGCTTTTAACTAGCTATGACTTTCCTAATGTAGATATGAAACCTCTTTTTGCACTTTGTTTCACATTTATGCACTGCTGCACTTATTTCAAAATGCTGTACTTTACATGCTATTATGCATTCTATGTATTATTATTATTATATTATTATTATTATTATTATTATTATTATTATTATTATTATTAAGTTCCAGTGTCTGTCTAATCTCTTTTTAGACCCAGATGTCTCACCCTTTAGGATTTTTATTTACTGTGCTGTTTGTGTGCCTTTGCACAACACTATTTGGGTAGAGGTCAACAACAATAAGAGTAACGGTCACCATTAATGAAAAAATCATGCATGAGAAGCGTTTGGAATAAAAATACTCACCAGAAATGTTCCAACATGTTCCCGACTGAACACATGAGCATAATATTCATCTTTTGACAGCTTCCTCTCACAGAGCAAACACAGGGATTCCCTTTCTGTGGACGGATGCCATTTGACAGCCACACTGTAACTGACCATGAACTGATGACCTGCAATGACGAGGTGAAAAGTCAAAAGAAATCCATAGTGCACTGTGGTAAAATTATGTATAATAAATTTGCTGAAGCGCAGCAAATTGCGTGACCAAGGGCATGCTCCCTGTAAATGTTATAGCCCTCAGTGATATGATGCATGCTTGAACATGACTACAGATAAAAAAAAACAAACAAACTGTGGAACGTTTGAGGATTTATTTACCAGATATTTATTCACAAGATAGAATATGAAAACATATTCAGGCATCATTAGGCAATGCTATGGATAACATCAGGGAGAGATAGAATGGCTACAGCTTTAAATGAAAAGGGGGAGAGGGTAGAAAAGAAATTAGAAAGATGTTGGAACTTAAAGGAACAAACAAAGCTGCTAGAAATACATACACATGGTATAAAACCATATGCTTTATTCAGTTGTGTCAGCATTTGTATTGTTCTGTGATATCACAATAAAGTGTACAAGTGGCCTGAAGTTCTCATCTTTTGGCTGACTAAAGTTTATTACGAGCGTTCGCTAAAGAAATCTCCCACCACAACACTTTTGATTTCTTTTTCTCCCTAGTAGTACCCACCAAGCAAAGGAAATCTCTCGTTTTGTTGGAGTTTGCTGTATGTTTCACACCGCGGAACTGCACAGACAGAAAAGCAGAAAGACAAGTCAGATGAAAGTAAACAAGTCAAATAATTTCATTTATCTTGTATAATAAAGAAATTATTTTAGCACTAACCTTCACGCTTTAAGATAGTGTGGTATAGTTCAAGTCTCTCCATCACTACAGACAAAATCAAGAACAAAACACAAAACTATGTTAGACTGCTACAGGTTTCATTTTTTGGATTTTAATGTTGTGCAAGTAGGCTTGGTGGCAAGTATGACCAAAACCAGTTCAAAAAATCTCACAGAGCACTGGTCACAATTTTGACATCATAAATAAAACTGCAGTGTGGGGAAATGTACAGGTACATTAATTAGTGGCATAATTTCCTGCATTGTCTAAAACAAGGGTTTAAGTGCAGAGAGGAAAGATACAGTCTCCCTAACTACCTCTGAATAATTTGATGCAAGACCAGTTGTACCTTTAGGGTAAGAAGGTGGGATGAGCCTCTGGAACATCCAGTATGGCATATCAAGCACCTGAGAAAGGAAACATTTTTAATAAGTAATGGCTAAAGAAAATTATTTAGAGAAAATGATTACAGGAAATTAACCTTTCTATTACATTAAGAAGCCTCACTCTGGTGGTGGTGGTGTTAGCTTTAAGACTGAATGGTACTTTATATGCTATGATGCGGGTATAATGACTTTTGTATATGTATACACAGATGTAAACACCAGAGTAAGAAAATACAAAATATTTGAATTGGCATTTTACCTTCAGCATCATCTGATGTGATCCTCTTTCCTTCTCCTCTTCCCATGCCATTGACCTCAAGAAATTCATATCCAGAGGTTTCTCCCAGGCAAAAGGGAGACGCCAGGGATTCTGGTACACCTAAGAATTTAAATGTAAATGCTCCGTATTTGTATATCTAGTCTTTTTGACCACTCAAAGTGCTTTTACACTACATCTGCATTCACCAGTCATACACATTCATACACTGAGCCTAAGTGCTCAAACAGAAACTGAACTGACATTCACACACATTCATACACTGGCGGAACAGCCACCAGGGGCAATTCGGGGTTCAGTATCTTGCCCAAGGACACTTCGACATGCAGCCCGGGATTGAACCGCCGATCTTCCGATTAACGGCCAACCGCTCTATCTCCTGAGCCACAGCCGCCCCATAATTTAGGACAGTGGCCAAAAAAACAAGCTTTTCCCCATTGGATTTCGCTGTATATTACTGTGTTTCCGGCCCTTGCATGAATTGTTATTTTTAAATGGAATCCTGAAAGAGTTTTTTTTTACAGTTTGGCTTATAAAGGCACCATAAGGGCTTGTGGGAATCCAGAAAAACCTAAACTATTCTAAATCTGATCACCTTAATTACAAAAAGAAAGGACACCCAACAATGTGGCAGCTATTGACCTGTGTCAGAATTTGATATAGACGTGATATAAAACTAAAAACTATGTACATAGTGTACATACCGCCAGCACCCACACACAGCTGCACTGGTGTCATAATGTCCAAACACAAGCCACATATGGAAATAACTCAAACAACAGCTTACCAATGTGAGTATGAGATGTTTTTGAGAGTCTAAGTGTTCTTTGAGAAAGGAATCCGAGAAAGAGTCCTCACAAGCAAAGCACACATAAATAGGTTTCATTTGAATCTCGGTGGTGATACACGTCACTATCAGGCTTGCACCTAAACAAACAAAATCAAATTAAGAAATGAAATGTTTCTCAGTTTAACACCGAACAAAACCATAGTAAGTGGGTCAGCTCACCAACAGCTGGTTCCTTCCCTCGGGTGTACGTGTACAAGTCCAGCCAGGGTGTGAATGCTAACATTAAAAAAGGAAAGAGGGTTAAGAGAAGGAGCTGAATAAATACCAAAATCTATGGAAATTTTTCTTAAATTACAACAGATTTGAACATTGTGAGGGAAACTGCAAATTATTCATGCACATCTAACCATGTTTAATTTCTACTATGTTTGATAAATCAGAATCTTGTGTAAAGGTGCCTCAGAGTGGGAACGTTAACAAATGTTACTAAAAAGGTCAAGCCGTGGCCTGTGGGAGAACGAGCAGAGGGTTTGCTAAACAATAACTGATAAGAAACAGCTTTGGTAGGGTAAGGTATATATATGAGGTAAACTCCTTCCTTTGTTATTTGTCAGAGTGGAACTGCAGAATTGCCACGTCGTCAACTCAAAAGTTGGGCCGAAAACACAGAAAAACACATGCCAATGCTTTTTGTGATACCATCAATCACTGTAAAGGAAATGCTGGAAATTCAAATACAAAGCTCACTGTGTGTAACACAGGTATCTATGTACAGTAAAAATCATCACACTTATTTTAAGTGTTTTGCACAATGTCTTTGGGGATTTTTTGTTCCAAGCTGACAGTATAATTTGCTATTGGGATTAATAAAGTACTTTATTACTTTATTACAATTAGTTTTTTTTTTTTTTTAAGCTGACAGACTTATTTGTTTTCTAACCTTTTGACAAATACAGTTTCTGTATTGCTTTAAACTAATGTCTCAAAGTGTTGCAACATGTTGTAACAGAAGGAGAAAAGTGTACCTGTTTGGTCATCTCTTCCAGCTGTAAGAAAGGGAGAAATTAATAATCTCATTTAAATCGTCTTAACAATACACTATCATAAGAGAAATCAGAGAAAAGTCCAATGTACCTTCAGCAAAGGATTTCTTCAACATCTGGAGAAGAACGGAAGTCATATTTTATAGCACATCATCAAAAATCAAAAAATCATTTTATTTTGACTAGAAAGATATAAAAATGTTGATCTACCTGTTTGTGGTTCCAGTTTTGCAAATCTGCCAAATGATTCAAATACTGACCTATGGTAAAGACCATATTGCAGTTCTGCCACAAGAGGGGAAAAAACAACAGAAACAAAGTCCACTGTATTAAACTTGTTTTCTTAATGTCCAGCAACATTTGGTATTTGGTACAGCAGTAATATCCAGCGTGTTATGATAGTTTATTACCTGACAGCGAACTTTGTAGAATAATGTAGCATGCACTGCTACAGACCCTGCTGATGCAGTATGACGCTCTACAAAGAAAAAAACATAGTAGTAGAGTTGTTAATTCCATATTGTTAAAGTTCAATTAAAAAAATGTTTACAATAGTAGTTAAAAAAAAATACACATCGTCTCTTTTTCACAAATCTATCAAATTATGTTTTTTATTTCAACAATTTGAGATAAGATTTAAGTATTATTATAGACGCTATTTAAAACACTGGAGGTCCATCAATCCGTCCATCGTCAACCGCTTATTCCTGCGTAGAGGGTTGCAATGGAGGTGTTTTTAAAAAAAAAGTATATTAAGATATTATGCATGCAGCCAAAACATGTGAGAGGACGCAGAAGTGATATTTTAACACCAAAACATACAGTTGTCATAGTTAATTATTCATTCAGTATAACCTGTGTGTACACTATATTACATACACATGTAAAATGTATGTGGTTTATGTACTCAGTGTATCAACTGTGATGTTAAGTTTGCATGCTTAGAGAAGTCAGTTGACCTCAACTGGAAGATGTTTCATTAGAAAAAACGCAATTAGACATTTCCTGGTTTTAATGGTGTCAGGATCCAGTTAATGACATGTTAAAAGGTACTGGGACATAACAGACAGTTATGTCCAGTGCTATGTCAGTCAATAGCACACTACACATCAGAACATAATGAAGTGCAATTCAATTTCAATTCAATTTTATTTATATAGCACCAAATCAAAACTACAGTTATCTCATAGTGCTTTTCATAAAAGAGCAGGTCTAGACCGTACTCTGTGATGTTAATTACAGAAACCCACCAATTCCCACAAAGAGCAAGCACTAGGTGACAGAGGCAAGGAAAAACTTCCTTTTAAGAGGCAGAATAATGGGTCAGGGTGGGCGCCCATCCGCCTTGACCGTTAGGGGCGGGTGTGTGTGTGTGTGTGTGTGTGTGTGTGTGTGTGTGTGTGTGTGTGTGTGTGTGTGTGTGTGTGTGTGTGTGTGTGAGTGTGAGTGTGAGTGTGTGAGAGAGGGATGGGGGGTAGCCTACACAATATACACACAGAGGTACAGACAGTAAAGGTTATTTTGCTTTGGACTGAGTGAATAATGGTACAGATATTTATAGTGTTTATGGTAATAATCGTAATGTTAATGATAGTAACAACAATAGGACTAGTAGCCCAGGCAAAGCATAAGTGATATGGTAAGAACATTATATCAGTCGCAAATAAGGTAGCCAACAGATAAACAGGTATCAATGAGAGATTAATTTCATGGCTTACTGTTTTTATTTAATTAGAGACTAACCACAAGTCAGATTATTTTGGGTTAATGAAACAAACTACTAAAAGCAACATTGTTCCTGTTATTCTAAACCTGCTGTAGCTACTGCCTAGTTTAAATTATTCTGTTGGCCCCTGACTAGTACAGCTAGGACTAGTATACTAATAAAGCTATATAACATCCTAACATTATGTACTAATATTAAATACAGTAAAACAGTTTTACATTTTGGTAGTGGGATGTTTTAGTGGTATACTATCATAATATCCTAATACTAATTACTCATCTAGCCTGAGGAGTTAGGAGTTAATGAGTGAGTTTCTGCAGCGAATTGGTAATTTTACCTATTTTTTGGTGAAAATAGGAATTGTTGTTTCATATCTTTTCAAATACAGTTTTTATTGAAATGGCCTGTAGAGTGTTTTTGTTGCTCCTCTAGTAGATTTGGGGTAAAGGCAACATCATTTTATTCTATCCCAAATTGGACTTGCATAAAATTCTCAAGAATACAGGCATAAAAGTCTATTAAGACCCAGAGCCCCCGACAAATGCTCTGACCAGAGAGTGCATACAAAAGCGTGGGGAAATGAGTTCAGATCTGATATCTGGCCCGGTTCTGAGCTATTAGTCTTCAAAACAGTGGTCACATTTAATACACTAAGACTTCTGACAGTATCCATCCATCCATCCATTGAGGGAAATAACCTTCATTATTATCATTTTACACAGCAGACATTTCACATAATCACAACTGGTGTAACACCAACAGCCTCAAACAGATCCAACTAGTTTACACTGAAATACATACCCAGCTTGTTCCCTGGCTTGACAGTTGTAATCAAGCTGGTCTTGTTTTCCTTCGTGATGGATTCCAGTTTCTTCAAAGCTACAAGCCACCATAAGCTTAATTAGTAAGACATCATTCAGAGGAATACAACATAAACTGAGGCATTAAAAATATATACCTTCTGCATAACGACTGAAATTCACTGATGTACCAGGCTCCAGGTTCACTTGCTGTAAAACAATAGTTTCACGTTAATATCAACAAAATATCCATTTGTGGAAGCCTGCAATAGAGACTTTGGAAAATACTATTACCTTCATATCAGTGTTTGCAGTACCATGAATTTCCTCTGTCTGCTTTGCTAGATCAAGTATCATGCAGGCAAAGTCCTTGTTGTAGTTCTGGTAGCATTCCTTTGTCAACAAAGTAGAGGGGTGCCATGCTCTCTGCACAGATTAAAACTGATGTGAAATACACAAACTATGTCACAGGAAAACAAACAGTACTGATTTCAGTTGTGGTAGATTTCTTACTCAACCAGACATCAGAACAAAAACAACTCTGTTTAGGGTAGATAATGTAGTGCTGCCGTGACTGTGCAGTCAAACTGTTTACTTAATAAACCACATCTGGCAAGTGATTTGTGGTGGAAACCTATATTTCCTAAATTTAACACCTTAAATTTATCAGTTAACAGCAATCAGTGTACATGTACCAACGTTAAAGTTGTTAACAGTAATAGTTGCCTTCCTAAGTGCTTGAAATGTAAATGCTAACTGTGTCCTGAAATGACCTCTCAGATGTATCCTGTTATTAAGTGACTCAGGGAAAGTTCTCTGGTCCCAGGGGAAGTACAGCTCTCAGAAACAGAAACGAAAGCTATCAAACTGGTATGTGAGAAAATGCTGTGCTATTGCACAATACACACACTGGACTTCAATATCGAATTTTTGTTAAACTATGTGTAGTGGGAAGGAAGACAGTGAGCAGAAATTATGTTTACTCATTCTGAAATCACATAATAAAGACCTTAAAAAGGCTTCATCTGTCTTTCACAAGTAATTCAGGGGAAAAATTAAATTCATGGCGGATTCTTTATAATGCTTCATTCCTTCAGATATCCTGCAACATTATGTACAGTAAGATGGTATCATCTTGCACAATTATTGCATATGTGCATTTTTCCAGTTAAAATCAAATTTGCAGTGATGATGCAGGAAATCCCATGCGTTTTTAATCACTGAATTTAACAAGCATTTTAACTTTTAGGGTCAAGAACTTCAGCAGTAAATGGTGTAAGTGGCATGTAACCATCAAGTAGACAGTGTAACAGGTGAAAAACTTCTGTTGTAAATTATTTTAGAGCATTATAGCCTAAATTGTTATCATTAATTACTAGAGCGATGGTGGTCTACATTGTCATCATTTAAAGTGTTATTTTATAGTGTAAAGTTAGGATCACAGTGTTAAAACTCTATAGCTCTGAGTGTATGTGCTCCTTTTGCATCCAACTGCCCAGGCTCAGCAGTAGCGCGTGTGCGCGTGCGTGCGTGAGCAAGCACGTGTGCTTTGGGAGCAGAGTGAGGAAGCACAGCAAGGCATCATCAAAAACACCAGCAAAGGAAAATACAGAAGCAGAATTAGTGAAAATTGTGTTACAAAACATACATCAATATAGTCCATCACAATAAGAATGTCCTGTCTCTAGCACACAGCACAAAAGACACTTATAAGTAGTGAACTGTAGTCATGAAAACAGAAACAAGCTCACTGTGGTTAGATCCTTGAGTGGGAGGATTGAATGCAGGTGTTTCACCTTGTTCGACTGTCACCTACTGTAGATTATGACTACGGAGGGGTTGCAGGTAGTCAAAACCTGCTGTGACAAGTGCATGCTTAGGGCCAAGCACTGCCTAGGGTCATGTCGCAGAGAGGAAACTTTTCCTGGCCTAGTTATGGCACCAAATACCTGGATTTCACTGTCCCCCAATTATTATATCTATATAGTAAAAGGTCAACACTGAACCACTGCTGAATCAGTTTTAAGCAGATATTGAAAGATAGGCCCCTCTTTTCTTGATACAAAATTACCTGCGCACTGAAGCTCAATTATATTCTCAAATTACCCCCAGTCTCCCAAGGCTTGAACTGCATAAACTACAAAAGGCTGGTAGACCAGTGTGGGATGGGTATTCCAAATTTATTCCTATTATAGTGTGCCTTTGGTTTCAGGCACCTTGTCCACTGGTGTCTGCCCCCCCAAACGCACCCAAAATTAACAGACATCCCGAATTGCTGGAGGTGTGGGAGGAGCATTGGTTCATACCTCTTTATGTTATGGTCCTGGTTGTACAAAAATCTCTGCTGTTCAAAAGTTAAAACAATACTTTTAAAATCATTTTGATGCTACACTGACTTGTAATAATAGTGAATGGCGTCTCGCTCATTGCCACTACGGGCCAAGAAGCAGGTTACTTGCCCTATGTAACACTGGAGTCCCGTGCATGAGAAGAGAGAGACGAAGAAAAGACCGGACAAGAGTAAAAATCAGACTGACCTTTACTCGTTGCCATGAGCTAAAAGACCTGAGGGAATGCAGGAAAGATGCTTGCCTTTTTACTGTTGGACTAGTAAGTAAGAATTTATTAGCTTGCTTGCTTTGTCTTGTGTTATTGTGCTTCCACTCGTGTTTCATGCCCATTACTTATATCAAAAAATGAGAAACCCAAAATCTTCTGATCAGTCACTGTATACAGTCACATTTCTTAACAAAGATCTTTGTCTTATTGGCAGATTTTTCTGAATATCCTCTTTAAATGTCATAGCTACTTACAAAGTAACAAAGATGTGGTCAAAGCTCAGGACATGTTTGATGATCGTGTGGGTGGCTATAGTTAGGTTGCAGAGCGTGCAGAGGTAGTGTCTCTTCTCAGTCAGTCCAGCACCAATGCATTCAACAAGGTGCTGCATGCCTACAAGACAGAATAAGAGACACAAAGGGGGAAGGGATTGTAGTTAAAGCTGAGGAAGTTCACAATGAAGTAAACTCTCCAGCATGAGTAGGTTTGTTCAAGTATTAATTTTGTAATAATTAATTTTGTTGAATTGGTATTAATATCACAGTATCGACAAGGTATACTATAATAAAAGATTCCACTAACTAAAGTGATTCATTTATTTAATTTGTATATTAATCCATTGAATTTAATATGCTATGTAAGAAGACAAAATACATTTTTCCCTTAAAGGGGCTGGTTTTCAGCAGCTACAAGTGGCGCAGTTTTTAGATTGCAACCAGGGGCGTACTTGCTCAAACTCATGAGCAAGCAGAGTCTGAAACGCAGAGACAACAAGAAGGTCTATGCTCGTTACATTGACTGCATTTGGATAGTCGGCGTTGGCTCGCCTGCTGGCTTTTCAATAACTCTTTTTCGGTCTTTCACCGGAGAGGCTCAGCAATGTCAACATAGCTAAATGTAATGGATGATAAACAAACAAACAGTATGGGCCCGATTTACTAACATCCCGAATAAAGAGTACTAATTGCGTGTGCATTCTAAAATATTGCAGGTGCAATTTTAGTACCTGTTTTGGGTGATTTACTAAGAATTATTGCATTGATGACAACAGGAGAAAACACAGTGGAGGTGAGTGTATTTAAATGAGGGTTTTACGTGTTTTAATGGTTTCCGCCATGGAGAGTCGGTAGGGAAAGCAGCCACTGCGTAAAAACCTTGGTTTGTTTCGTTAAGTGCGTCCCGATTATGTGGAAATCATACCATCCTGCCTGAGAGTGCACTAAATACTTTGGACAGCACACCTGAAAAACTGCAGAAACATATACAGTATGCTGGAATGACCCAGACACGAGGAAATGCCAGCAGATCGTGCTTCATCCAGCCAAAGGGAACAATCACCGACTGTCCGTACCATGCCCGGTTGCTCCACTATCTCCCGTCCCTGGCCCTGTACGCCCCATTCCCTCTCCATCCGATACCTACAATGAGTTGTGTCGCTATTACGACCGGCGTGCTGTGAATAGTTGGTGATCGTTCCCTCTGGCCGGATAAATTTACACATGATCCATGCACTACAGCGCCACGCTAAATTCTTCCATCTCACGGAGAAAAGACGTCAGGTCAAATCGAAATTTGCTTTGGATGTTAACAGTTTTGCCAAAGCTAAAAGAAAATACAAAAAAAACTATTCAATTCATAAAGTTCATTGAATAAATACAATAATTTATTTCTATATATTGGATATAGAATAATAATTAATTGTAATAATTGTTAATTTCTCTACATTTTCTTTCGCTACGGCTGTGTCTCCTTCTGGTAACAATAACAGCAGCCATCTCTGCGCAACACTTGGCGGTTTGCACCTTCCTTTCAAACGTATTTAATACAGATGCTGCACTCACATGAGATTGCGTTTAGACTTGGTAGATCACATTGCATGTAGCAAATAAATTTATTTGCATGTTACCCTCCCACTACTTTGCACAATAAAACTCAAATGCCCCAATTTGCATATTCATTATGGCAAAAGTACTACATGAACAACAGGTGCCATCTTGCACTTTTGAAAGACGTCATTCTGCGTGCACACCATTAGTAGATCAGCTTACGTGCTAATTTGCTGGTGATATCAAGTTTGCGCACGTTTTTACTCACGCAAACCTTTATTAATCAGGCTCTAAGTGAGCTAGACTGAATCTTACAAGACCGCAATAAGTAATGTACTGTAGTACATGTTCTTCCACTGTGCTGTTGTCCTGCACCAAAATGTTGCATTGTTATATAATGTGGGTCACATAAGTTACAGTGACTGAGATGGTGAAGAAGCTGTGTAAGTATCGGTAAAACGACAATAAATCGAAATTGAATGTAACGAAGCAAACAGTGGCACATCCGTGCCAACGTGAGCTGGTTAGTATAGGCTAGTATCAACAATCACTCCACTTTTACTTTGTACCATTATGCCCTTTCTTGCAGGTTAAAATCAACACTTTGACATACACCAGTGGTCCACAGGATAGTAATCTGGGTCGCATTAGACGTAATATGGAAAACCATACAACAATAGTATTTTGCTCCAGATAAGGTTAGGAAATGGTCGGCAATAGCCGGCAAACCAATGTTATCTAACTTGAACCAACTAAATCACTGTGACTCAAGCCTTTCTGATGTTGATCGTGTTTTCACCCAACACTGATCTGATACTCATTTGGCTTGACGGCTTCAGCACATAAAAATGTACTGTTTTTTTATCCTTACGCAGAGTTTGTGTTAGAGTTTGTTTGGGAGCAGGTGTCTGTTTGGCATTAGTGGACTTTCGTTAGCTGCAGTGTTGTTGCTGTGTGTACAGTTCAAAATCAGTAGGCAAGAGGCTAGTGAGCGCACATGCAGAGAGTCCGACTGGGTTTTAATCACATAGGCCACAGAATAGCAGCTGTTCCAAGGGACCCAGAAAGCAAGCGTGTGGATAATTTTTACCTAATGTTACAGCCCATTGAAAAATAGGCAGAAAAAGTGATTTATTGATAGCTTATTTCATTGAGGTCTTCTTGTTTTTCATGCCCTTCCTGTTCTCCATACTTAAAAACATTATGTTTGATCATCAGGTGTTATTTTTAGGCACATTTACTGACCAAGAAGTGGATGCTTCCTGTTGCTGTCTCTTTGGTATGTTTGTATCATCGTCCTGTTTGGCTTAAAAGCTAGAGGGGAACAAAAGATGGCAGTGATGAAACACAGACTCAAGGACAATAAGAAAGAGTAAATGTAAGATATGATAATAATTAAATATTTAAAGTTTAAAAATAATTCTGAGCACCTTAAGGCTTCTTGTCCATGTTGGCTTGAGCTTTTAAAGCACCATGTTATGTAGTAATGTTATCTATGTAGGTTCATGTTTTATGAAACCAAGATCATTTGATATTACTGAAAGTTCCAGCTACTAAATGGACCTTTTGTTTACTTGACTGCTGTTTCCAACAAACTTTGAACTTCATACATTAACTGGGCCCGCGACCCTGTTGGCAGGATAAGCAGTTGACGATGGATGGATATTAACTGGGGTAAGCAATCAATCCAAGTAGTGCTTACAACAAAGGGCTGCTGTTATAATTATACAACACATCAAAGCACTGTTTGATTTTGGTAAAGAGGAAGATTAAACTCTATACTGTACTCCAACTCCCTCAGTCCTGATTAATCCATCTGCAGAAATAAGTGTATTGAGAAAAATGTGCACACACCTTCAAACAGCTTGGGAAGCTTCTCATTTTCACTAAGCGTTTTCATCGCTGGGGAGAAGGATCAGATCATTTTCATAAGCAGACAATTTAACAAAACACAAAAATTACATATAGAAATCTTAGAATCCTTTACCTTCATTGTAGGTACTCGTTTCAAGCTTTTTAAACAGATCTCCAGGTAAATCCAACATCTAAAAAAAATGTAGTGGAAACATTTAACATCCTCTAATTTATTCACAAAAAATACAAATATTGCAGAAACTTTATATGGCAGTGCTGTGTAAGTACAATACAATGGTAAGAAATAATGTGGTAGGGTGAACTGTAGTTGTCCTCGACAATGAGAAAAAGCATGACCATGTTACCGGTTTCAGTTCAATCACACACTCAGGTGCTAATTTAACCTAAAGAGAACATTACACATAGTAGCATTTTGTTTGGCGCAGCAGAAACAAGCTATAAACCCAACAGTGACATGTTTTCACCTTTTAGGCTGATGAACATATTAGCAAACAGTTACCCATTTACACATCCGCAGTTACAGATCATCATTAGCACTCGTTTTGAGTCTTGTTTGTAGCCATCTGACAAAAACCAATATTGTGTCTTGTGGTGTCCGAACAATAATGCTGTGATGATGTGTTAAGAGGAAAACCCACTTGACACTGTTCTTGATCATAAAAATTTATTAAATCAAGGAGTTCCAGCATCAATTACAAGCTCTGCAGTAGCTTGGAGAGTGACCCAGCCCGATGGCCACTCTGTCTCTCTGTACATCAAACAAGCTTATATAGGATATGTTTAGGTCTCTGTTAGGTACCATAGAAGGGTTTGAGTCTGCAAAGTAAAAGGTCAAACCCATAGAAGGGTACAGTACTATCTTGAGGTAACAAAACAAGGGGTTAGAGGTCAAATTCTATAGAAGGGTTCAGTCCCTACATAACCACCAATCACTGCTCTCCCTTAGAGGTCACTGACCCTCTGTCCTGCTGCTACAGTGCTATTTTGAACTGTTATGAGTCAAATGCATAAATATTGGATACTACAGTCTCCTTTTAGCTCGTTTTGGTCTCCACCTACTACGGCTGTCCCCGACTAAGGATTTACATAGTCGAATCACAATTGTCAAGTCTTGCCTATAGTCGACTGACAGTCGAACGGTGTTTGTGTGTGGCGATTGCGAGCGGGTGGGGGGTAACACATGGTAGCTCCGCTTTAATTTTGACAAGCTGCAGAGCTGTAGTCTCGGCTCATTAGTCACTGTAACTTACACTGTACGTTTCCACCTAAACTGAGTCTCATTGTTGACCCTTTTCTCTCTGCTCGCCTGCCATTCACCAGTCTTGTGCAGAGTTTTGCATGCCTGCCGTGCGGCCAATAGCTGTAAGCACGTCGCGGTTCCTTGCGCACTTTAAAACATTTATTAAAAGCTGTTTTTCTTTTCTCATTTTTTTATTTACAGCATTAAACACTGAAATGTATATTGTAATAGGCTGTATATTAACTTATTGGGAGAAAACTGGTAGCTCTATGTAAAATCAGACATTGAGCACCCCCATATCACCAAAACGGCATGATCAATGAACAATGATCTGAGTTATAAAGTTCCATACAGCTGATGGGAACTGCAGAGTTGGGTGATAATTCTTTGTGGGTTTTCACTACAAGCAACCCTTTTCCACATACAAGTCGTTAAGTGATCCATTGTTAATATAAAGTTATTGAATACAACTGCTTTAAGTTGTCAATATATATTTACTGTATGATTCCAGGCCTCCAGGTACAAACCTTTAGTAGTCCAGGCCCTCTTTCATTGACTTCCTTTGTGATCTCAGGCTTCAGAAAGGCTCTCATATCCATCACGGGGAGCCAGGAGAAAGGCAGTACATTGGGGTTGGTGTAGTTCTGACATACAAAATACAATAAATTAAAATTGTGCTTCCAAATTTTAAGCATGGGTTAGTTTTTATCATCAATAATCAGCACTTACAAAGTAGTTGCTGCAGTGGTCACCAGAAGACAGGTGGTGTAAAATCTTGTCTGAGGGACGCTTTTCCTCACAGACATGGCACAGATAATAATGGGTGTCTGTCTCTCGACTGAAACACAGAGTCAGCAGAGACAAGCCTGCAAGAAAGCCATTTAAAATAGGATAATTACTTCAGACATAATGAATCTTTTACATCTTCAGCAGTACTAAACATCGTCTCACATTTGTTATAATGGGAATAATACCATATAAGTCCATAACCATCTGGTGCTTTAATTACACATCAAAAATGTGTATTTAGTCATAAAAACAAATGCATAGAATAAATAATAAATATTAAATAATAATAAATAAAATAAAATAATATTAATGTACCGCACGTCATGTGCAATTCAAGACACTTTACTAACCTATGATGGGATGTTTTTCATGTTTCGCTAGCGGAGTAATAAAGGGAAAGGTGCCTATAGAGCAAACAACAATGAAAGAAAAATATTACACTTTATTACATGATAAAAAGTCAGCCCTCAGCTTCAGTTAGCAAAGTTACAAACAGACCTGGCAAAAAACCTTGGCGCAGTCATGGACTCAGGTCTGAATTTCAGCAGTTTAATGTGCTGTTTTCATTTTCAATCCAACTCTTTTTAAATTTTGTATTTTTGCCTTTTATAGTTCCCCGTGTTGCTATTAGGTTTTATGTAAAGCACTTTGAATTGCCTTGTTGTTGAAATGTGCTATTCAAATAAAGGACAGCCTACGTTACTTCAATTAAACAGTCTCAGTCTAAAAGGTCTCTGTATGCTTACAACAAACTAGGCTAAACATTGTTTTGTCGGACCACATTTAAAGAGTTTACAGCAGTTCCGAATGACGTTTTTTGATGTTTTGTTACAATTTTATGTTTCCACTAACATTCTTCCCAGGTGGTGTCCTTAATGTTTTTAGTTACATGGTAACTTTAAAACATACCATCAGTTCACACAGAATATATAGCAAAGTGGGTTATACACAGTGAATTGTAACTTTAACACACAACACATGACTATAGAGAGGCAAGATGTGATAAATTGGCATAATGTGCACTTTTCTCTCCTTTATGGTTAAAGTGTCACACTCTTTGTTATACCCGCAGAAGAGGTGAATTATGTTGTCTCGAAAAAAAACAATAAAAACCCCCAACTCATTTGAGATAGTTCTAATCCTTGTTTTTTTTTTTTTTTTCTTTTTACCAGAAATGCAAAGGACCTAGGAAAGGCAGGGAAGACTGTTAGGAAAAATATGGATGTAAGCATTGCAGGTCTCAAAATATGGCAGTTTTCTGAGGAAATGCATTTAACATTTCCTTTTCTAGGACATACACAAGAACTTTGTTAACAAGCACCAAACAAATAGGAAGAAGAATAAGCAGGCTTACCATGTCCCTTTAAAATATCTAAAAAAAAATAAAAAAAATTAAAAAAAAAGGTTAATCTACTGGACATTCCATCGAAGTAACAGATGGTGCGGGAAACAAGAAGATAAGAGATTAACAAGAAATTAAATAAGAAAAAAGCACAACCTTTCTGGAAGACGTTTTCCATTTTCTGTTGGTAAAGAACAGATGAAACATGCAGAGGAGGTTTATTAATGCAGAAGCAAACATAGCAACAGAAATATGGGTTCTGTCTCATGATACAGGATTACAGTTAACTGGACAACTGCACTGAGTGAAACAAAGGACTCGCCTATTAATCAATGGTCCAGAGCCTCCAGCTTTAAGTCAACACAGTTACCCACATAACTTATAATGCTGTTGATGAGACAGTTAAATTAAAGACATTCAAGTAGCCATCAAGGAAAATATTTATTTTGGTTGGTGAATGGTTCAGAGTGAGAATTTAAAAATTACTAATTAACCAAGTTAAGTGTACATGAAGTTTAATGCCCACCTCTTTATGTGCCCTTGAGAGAAAATGTTGCTTCAACTTAAAAATACTTTTAAACTGGATGAGGCACACCTAAAACGAGAAAAAAAGAAGTTGTATCAGCAACACAGAAATACAATGATATGTAGTACATTTGTTTACATGAGCCAAGATTTGTGGATAGTATTTATCCACAAATCTTATTCAAATCTTCTTCAAAAACAGGCGGAGGTTTGCCAATAGCATTACAATACACTTCTATCTCCATGATTATGCTTCTGGCACTAACAGCAGGTGATTTAGGATTTAGGAAACTCAAGGCCCAGAGATGTGCTGCAACTGAAAGTGCTTCAATAGAAATAGGTGTGTAAGATTCATTGACTCAATGCCATTATTGCAATTTCACATTGAAAACGTTGAGGAAAGTGTGCGATATTCTGCTTATTTTCTGGAGATGAGGTTTAGTTGTGTTCGATTTAAAGCCCGCTTGAAACTATGTGAGCGTAAGGGTCCACCAAACGAACATACCCTTTGGAGCATACCACGTGACGTGTGGCATACTTCAACAGCGAGTGAGCATGCGAGAGAAAGACGAGTCAGAGGAGACAGAAAAGTAAGAAGATGAGTGTGGCTTAGTGAGACATTGAAACAGAGATCAAAGAGGAAACGTTAGTGGGCAAAAATTATGCCTCCTTGGTAGCTTAGAAGCACTTTGGCTTTAATCCGACAGATGTGCACCGTGCAAAATGTGCCGTATGGTGATATACAGCATGTGTCCCCCAAAAAAATGCAACAACCCTGTCTTGTTAATACGCCAGAGCTAGCCAATGTACACAGTTGGTAAAAAGACTTTAGGAAGCTTCTGAATTAACTGGACAAACAATATCAAATCCCATCCCGCACCTACTTCTCACAGGTGGCTATTCCGCATCTAGACAAGCAGTGCAGAAAGTCTGTGCAGGCTGAGCTTGGAATCAAACAGATGGAATATTTTTCCAACCATGATGGATCTGTGATCTAGCCGCACTTTGGAGCCCTAAATAACTCTCTCTGTGCACTATAAAAACACCTGAATACAAGCTCGTCTTTTCTAAAAGATGGTGATGAAAGTGATTACGTCTTGGGTGTTTTTTTGCAATGAAAGGTGATAAAGTAGATGTAATTTTTTTACTTTAGAATTATAGTTGTATTGTGGTGTATAACATATGTGCATTCGACCATTACAGTTTAAAATAACACTCTAGCAGCTAGACAGAGGCTCAATGAACTCTTAAGGGGGGAGTAGTGATTGATGGGTGTGTAAAGAGTGAACCCTCCTATGGAATTTGACCTCTGACCCAGTGTAAGGGGGGAGTAGTGATTAGTGTTTATGTAGGGACTGAACCCTTCTATGGTGTCTAACAGATGTTTACACTTATCCTACAGCACTGTGCCCTTATATGGATTGGAGCTTTAGATTGCAGACTCAAACCCTTACATGGCATTTAGCAGATACCTAAACATGTCCTATATAAGCTATGTTTGATGTACAGAGAGACAGAGTGGTCATCGGGCTGGGTCACTCTCCAAGCTGCTGCAGAGCTTGTAATTGATGCTGAACTCCTTGATGTAATAAACTTTTATGATCAAGAACAGTGTCAAGCGGATTTCTTCTCAACACATCATCGCAGCATTATTGTTCGGACACCACAGTATCACTATACAGTACCTCCAATATCTTAAGAGCAGTGTGGATACAAAAAGTCCTTTAATTGTTGATTTATTTGGCCAAATGTACTACGTGTTATTATTCTGTGATCCTCCAGAACAGAGCCACGGAGCCCCAGGATCAAACAGTCCCAGCCCCACCTCCACCAAAAAAGTCCAAGAAGTCACTGGGGAGTTTGCTGAAGAGCAGCAGCACCACAACACCGGCAGTATTTTTTCCCTGGGGGAAGCGGTTACAGCTGAGCTTTTCATGATTTTATTTTACTTTATTTTATATATTTTTTATATTTTTAACATTTTAGTTTGTTTTGGGCGGCGCGGTGGTACAGTGGTTAGCGCTGTCGCCTCACAGAAAGGTCATGTGTTCAAACCTTGGTCGTTCCGGGCCTTTCTGTGGGGAGTTTGCATGTTCTCCCCATGTCTGCGTGGGTTCTCCCGGGTGCTCCGGCTTTCTCTCACCATCCAAAGACATGCGGACTAGGTTAATTGGTGACCCTAAATTGTCCTTTGGTGTGAGCGTGACTGGTTGTCTATGTGTGGCCCTGCCATGGATTGGCGACCTGTCCAGGGTAGGACTGAACGATTAATTGCATTTGCGATATTATCGCGATGTAATAAAACGAGATTTTCTAATCGCAACGGCTGCGATTACACTCACATGACATCCAAGAGGAAAGCAGTCTGCAGAAGAAGTTGATGCTTCGTCTGCACGTTACGCTGTACCTTGTCTTCTTGTTGTACAATGGCCTTAAGTGTGCTTACTGGGATACAGAAAGATGGACTAAGAGATTTGAACTGAAATAAAGACGCATTAATTGGAGGTTGAACTTTGGGTTTTGTATTGAGCACACTGGTGAGTTAATGTTATTTTTTCTTGTGGTCTATAGGTAGGCCGACCTGATGATATTATATCATGTTATTTAATGCCATGACTTGACTCAAATTATCTTTCTCATATTATTACAATTTGATATATCTTCTCCACCATTGCTCATAGTAATAATTCTACCTAATTCATCATCATAACACAAGAAAGAACAGTGTAGTTCTAATATTGTGTATACACTGATTTACTGCTTGTCCATTTTGAATAATACAGGCGGTAAAGAGCTTAAAAATTAATTGCATATTAAATCGCAATATTGAGAAAAAAAAAACGCAATTACATAATTTTCCAAAATTGTTCAGCCCTAGTCCAGGGTGTACCCCTGCCTTTTGCCCGATGTCAGGCAGGATTGGCTCCAGCCCCCCGCGACTCTGTACGCAGGATAAGCGGTTGACGATGGATGGATTTTGTGTTGTCTTGCTTTTATCATGTACAGTGGGGAGTATTTGATACACTGCTGATTTTGCAGGTTTTCCTACTTACAAAGCATGTAGAGGTCTGTAATTTTTATTTTAGGTAAACTTCAACTGTGAGAGATAGAACCTAAAACAAAAATCCAGAAAATCACATTGTATGATTTTTAAATAATTAATTTGCATTTTATTGCATGACATAAGTATTTGATCACCTACCAACCAGTAAGAACTACGGCTCTCACAGACCTGGTAGTTCTTCTTTAAGAAGCCCTCCTGTTCTCCACTCATTACCTGTATTAACTGCACCTGTTTGAACTCGCTACCTGTATAAAAGACACCTGTCCACTCACTCAAACAGACTCCAAGGACATCAGGGATAAAATTGTAGACCTGCACAAGGCTGGGATGGTCTACAGAACAATAGGCAAGCAGCTTGGTGCGAAGGCAACAACTGTTGCCGCAATTATACTACTTTACTACATTGCAGGACCTGGGCAATGACCTGAAGAGAGCTGGGACCACAGTCTCAAAGAAAACCATTAGTAACACAATATGCCGTCATGGATTAAAATCCTGCAGCGCACGCAAGGTCCCCCTGCTCAAGCCAGCGCATGTACAGGCCAGTCTGAAGTTTGCCAATGACCATCTGGATGATCCAGAGGAGGAATGCGAGAAAGTCATGTGGTCTGATGAGACAAAAATAGAGCTTTATGGTCTAAATTCCACTCGCCATGTTTGGAGGAAGAATAAGGATGAGTACAACCCCAAGAACACCATACCAGCCATGAAGCATGGAGGTGGAAAAATCATTTTTTGGGGATGCTTTTCTGCAAAGAGGACAGGACGGCTGCACCGTATTGAGGGGAGGACGGATGGGGCCATGTATCGCGAGATCTTGGCCAACAACCTCCTTCCCTCAGTAAGAGCATTGAAGATGGGTCGTGGCTGGGTCTTCCAGCAGGACAACGACCCGAAACACATAGCCAGGGCAATTAAGGAGTGTCTCTGTAAGAAGCGTCTCAAGGTCCTGGAGTGGCCTAGCCAGTCTCCAGACCTGAACCCAATAGAAAATCTTTGGAGGGAGCTGAAAGTCCGTATTGCCCAGCGACAGCCCCGAAACCTGAAGGATCTGGAGGTCTGTATGGAGGAGTGGGCCAAAATCCCTGCTGCAATGTGTGCAAACCTGGTCAAGAACTACAGGAAACGTATGATCTCTGTAATTGCAAACAAAGGTTTCTGTACCAAATATTAAGTTCTGCTTTTCCGTTATATGAAATATAAAAACCCTGAATAAAGATTAGGCTTCTTAATTCAGGGTTTTCAAAGAAAACTGTCTCTTGGTTCTCAAACTATCTTAGTGACAGAACTCAGTGCATTAAGCATGATGGTGTTCAATCTGGTATTTTACCAATCCTTAAAGGGGTTCCACAAGGCTTTGTATTAGGCCCTATTTTATTTACTATTTATATAAATAATCTTAATCGGCATGTGTCTGATGCAAATTTTCATTTTTATGCAGATGACAGTTATTTATTGCTGTGCACCCTCTCTCAAACAAGCCATTGCACATTTACAGAATGCCTTCAATATGGTCCAAAACACTTTGCTATAGTTGAAACTTGTGCTCAATGCAGACAAAACCAAATGTATGCTTTTCACAGGCCCTCGGAATAGACCACTGAATATTCCCTCAGTGATTACTCTTGATGGACGTGAAATACAGACTGTTACAACTTATAAGTATCTTGGTATTGTTATTGATGATTGCCTATCATTTAAGCCTCATGTTCACTGTCTAGTGAGAAAGTTGAGGCTAAAATTGGGTTTTTACTTTCGAAATAAGTTGTGTTTTCTTTTAATGTTAAAAAACGGTTAGTGGCATCCACTTTTTTTTTAATCTGTGTTGGATTATGGTGATATATTATACAGTATGTGCATTCATCTGCTCAATGCCTTCACATGATTGACGCAGCCCATCATGCATTGCTGAGATTTATCACTAATTGTAAAGCTCACACCCACCACTGTGAGCGGTATTCTCGTGTAGGGTGGTCTGCTCTGACAACACGGAGGCTTTGTCATTG